AGAACCTGAAAGCGTACCGCGACACAATAAGAATGTGAAGCCGAAATAACGGTCGTTTACAGCTCAGGTCCCACTTTGCTTGTGCGAGTGTTGGTTTGGTGGAGCCTATGTAGTGTGTGGCAGCGCGGGTTCCCCGGGGTAAACAGCAAGGGTAAGGTTTAACCTCAACACATAGGGGGGAATCACACAGCTAGGTCCCCGCACTGATGGTGGTAGTGGTGCTGTGGCGGGGCTCCGGTAGTTACTGGGCCGGGAAGCAGAGGGGTCGGGTTAAGTAACAGTAGGGGGAACGTCACACACTGTACCGGAGTCCCCGTGGAGAGGTGCTGGTGGTTGCTGTGCTGCAGCTGCTGGTGAGAACTTCCTGTGCGGTCTTTGCCCCCGGGTGCTAAAACTCAAACACAGCACGGCTGCCTAACAAAGTATCAGCATGGTCCCAGGGGCTGTTCCCCGCTTTTGGTGCGGGTCGAATGCAGCATGCATTCGTCGTCTACGGTGCGTGGCCCTATTTTCCAGGCTCACATCACTGTCCCCGTTCAAGTGGTCTTGTTGTTGGATGCTTGTCCCGAATCGGGTTGTAGGCGGCCGAGCGCTGAGCGTCGGCGTCGTGGTAGGCCCCACGCTTCATCTTCAGCGTCGGTGCCAGGGACGTCATTGGCATCCCACCCTTCGAAGAGCCCTACCGCTTCTCCAGCTGGCCTCCACAATGCTTCTTCAGGCCCCGGGCCGGGGGCAGCTGGTGGCGGGTCCCATAGCACGGTCTCTGCCTCCTCCGGCACGAGCTGGATGGGTTCCCGCCAAAGTGCCGTTGTCCACTGTTGCAGTAGTTGTAGGGCTTCCGTGGCTAGCCGGACTTGGTCCCCGACCAGGGTCGGCATCAGCTGTTGTAGAAGCTCTGCAGCTGGAGCCGCTCAGAGCTGCAGTGGGTTCCCCGCGTTCCTCCCGGGAGAACCTTTGTCTTTTGGCTGCCGGTTGCCCTTCTGCGGGTGCGATGTCCTCGGTGCCTTGCCCACCGGAGGAGGATGACAGGACAGAGCTCCTGCAGACCACTCCCACAACAACAAGCCAACCCACCTTCACACAGCGACAAACGGGGACCCCACTCGACCCCCAGCTCAACCACGAGCAACCACAACCACAACCACAGCCAGGAAGTGGGACCCTTGAACAGCAGCCTGTACCCTGAGCCCCAGCAGACCTCCGAAAACAACCAGGAGCAACCACAACCACAACCGCCACAGTGCCACAACATTCGCCAGCTCCGCGATCTACTACTACCGTCAAGCATGGCAACAGCCACTGCAGGCTCCAGCAGACAGGGACTCCAGGGACCCACAGATAACCTGGAGACCCGATCAGCAGCGCAAGACACCTGCCCTCCACCTAGGGGACCAACCTGGCTCCTGCCTAGCGAAGAGACGCAAGAAGCAATGCTGCGCACCATCCTGGCCATTGAAGCCGCAACAGCAGACTCAGCGCAGCCCTCCACCGTCCACCCGCAGCCCACAATTACGCAAGCAGACAGCGGAGAAACGACACAGCCTGCCAGTGAGCGGCACTTTCCCCTAGTTGCCGTTGACGCCGGCACCCACAGCCACACAGCAGCAGCCAGCACCGCCATTCATAGCCGCACCAACACAGGCGAGACAACGGGGGATCCCCGGCCGCAGCTTGCGAAGTCCCCGAGCGGGGTGGCCAGCATGGACACTCCCTCTGGCAGGTAGAGGTCGTGGCAGTGTTGGTTGGGCCGAGGAGAACTTGCGGGTATGTGCCTTGCGCCACAAAGGGGCGGCCCCCGCGTGAGGTCAGTATGACCCGCATATCCCAGCGTCCGTTTCCCCGATAGAGACACACCAAATTGTTGTTTCGCCTCAGGGGGAACGTAGGGGGGAGTGTTGGCGGTGTGCCTGTTTCCAGCCACGTCACGAGGGCTTTGTGCGGCCTACTGTCTGGGGGGGCGTGGCTCTCCTGGCTGTGTGCGATTCGCACTAGTGCTTTGCCGGGTGTGGGGTGGATCCCCCGCGGTGGTGGCTGCAGGAACAGCAGGTTCTACTCTGGCTTCTGCTGCTGCTCGCGCTGCCGTGCCTTGCTTGCTCCGTGGGTCTTCAGCTGGGTGCGGTGGCATGCTGTATTCGTACGGCTCCCGATGGTGTGGTTGACGCTGCTGGTTGTGGTTCCTGCGGTTGCGGGATGTCCCCGTGGGTAGCGGCTGTGGTGTCAGTGTTGGTAGGACTTGTCGGTTGGGCTGGGTCTGGAGCGGTCTGGCTGCTGTGTGGTGTCCCCGCTTGGCTGTGCTGGCTGCCAGTGGCTTGCCCTGTCGGCTGCGTCCCCCGTTGTGGGTTGAGGGCCCCGATGGGGAGCAGGTGGCGATTGAGGAGCTCTGCCCAGTTGGTGTCCTCCTCCGCGGGTCTTGTCTGGCTGCGCTGGCCAGGTGGATACAACCACTTTTCAGCTTCTTTCCACGTGAGGTGCTCTGGCTTAACCCAGCCGCGCTGTTGAAAAGTGGCTTGCACGGCCGATTTGTGGTTTTTGTTCCTCGTCCTTTGTTCTCCGCGCCCTTCTGACCATCTGCTTTGCCTATCCACCCTGCCGGATGGTGATGGCTCCGTCTCTCTGGCTGGTTTGCGTGGCTGGCTGCGACCGTGGGTGGCCCGTGGGATGCTGTGACGGACGGTGGGCTCCGTCGTCTTGTGGTGGTGGCTGTGGCTCCGCCCTCGCCTGCTTTTGCTGCGACGGGCTGGGCTCCTGTGGGATCGCGGCTTGTGGCCTCGTGGATGCTGCTTCGATGGATTGGTGTGCTGGTGGTGGCTGTTGTGGTGTCTGCTGTGGGGGCGGCTGTGTTGCGCCAGGTTGCTGGCCTACGTGACTGGTCTCCACGGGTGGCTGTGGCTGTAGGTTTCCTCTGGGTTGCTGTGGTGATTGGTGGGCCCTGTCGGCTTTGGTTGTGACTGTGGTCCTCCTGCAGTTGCTTCGGCTGGTCTCTGGCTGCGGTCTTCCTGTGCTGGGGCTTGTTGCGTGATGGGTGCCGCTTGGTCTTGGTGGGCCGCTGGCGGTGGTTGTTGTGGCTGCTGCGGTGGTGGTTGTGGTCTGCCGGAGCGCCGGGCTCTGCTGCTCACGTCGGTGATGACCGGCCCTTGTGGTCTGGTTTGCTGTGGTGGTTGCTGTGGCGGTGGTGGTTGGGCCGCGTTCTGCAGAGGTTGAAGGCGGTCGAGTGTGGCTCGCAGTTGCGACCAGAGGTCCTCTGGTGTGCGGTTGTGTTCCGCCGTCGTGCTGTGGGGGGATCCCCGGTGGCTGCTTCGTCACGGGGGGTTGGGAGGTGGGGCTGGTTGGGTCGTCCTCCTCGCGGTCGTTGAGGGGGCTCCTTCACGGGTGGTTTGGTGTTGGTGGGGTAGGTTGCTTGGTGGGCTGAGCCTTGTACACTGCTGGCTCCAGCGGGGGGGGCTGCATTGGAGGTGCTTTTTTGGCCGCTCTGTCGGTGGTGGGGGGAGGGCCTGTGGAGGTAAGCTAGGTGTTGTCTTGGCTCCTCCTGAGGCTAACCCATATGGCAGCTTGGGTAGCAGGCGCCTCGTCTTTCTGGTGGGGCAAGGGGCAGCTCATCATCGTCTCTGTGGCTGGCAGAGTGTGCACCTCCTGTGGATTCGAGGTCGGTGCTGCTGAGCTGTCCGGGGGGCCGGCTGTTTCCTCTGGTGCTCGTAGGTCTGGGCCCCAAGGGTCCGTATCAGGATCGTAGGGGGGGTCTAGGGCCTAGCGTCCAGTCTCCTCTGCTGTGCTGCGGGGTGTCGGCGGGCCCCCCTCTGCGTCGGCTTGGCTGTGGTGCTGGGGTGGGCGTGCTTGTGGTAGGGACTGTGGTGGTGGTGGTGGTGGTGGTGGTGGTGGTGGTGGTGGTGGTGGTGGTGGTGGTGGTGGTGGTGGTGGTGGTGGTGGTCTCTATGTTGGGGGTCGGCTGCTGGGCTGCTGCTCCACTCGTCCCGACTGCTGGCCTTGGTTCTGGTGGCCACGCTGCTTGCATGGCGATCGGGCTGTCGGTGGTGGTAGCTGTGGTGGTGTGCACTGCTGCTGCGGTTGCAAGGTTCACCTGGTTCTCGTCCGAGGCTTGGCTTCGGCTCGCAGGGCTCGGTCTGCTGTGCTTTGGTGAGGGCGCCGGTGATCTTGCGGAGGATCGTGTAATCGCGGGGGTCCTGGTGGCCGTGGTAGAGGTCGCTGCTGCCTCCGCCAGTGGGGCGGATCCTGGCTGCACTGCTGCAGCAGAGCTCGCTGTTGGTGACCTCTTCAAGGTGTCGCTGTAGGTGTTCCCGGTCCAGCTGGAGAAGTCGTGGTGTCGCTGCCGCTGTGTTCGGCTTGGCTGGGTTTGCCCTGGCGACAGAGCCTGCTTCTCCTTTCGTAGGCGAAGGATCTTGCGGTTGATCGGGTCGTTGGAGGAGTACTCGTGGTGGTGCTCGTGCCTGTTTTGTCGGGTGGTGCCGTCGTGCTCCCGAGGGTCGTGTAGAGGGGGGGCTCCCGAGTCCCGTGGTACGGAGAGGTCCCCGCAAAAGAGGTTGCGCCCCCGCTGCTTGGTGTCCTCGGCACGCTCCCGGAGGGTCGTGTAGGCGGTGGGCTTCCGGGCACCGTGGTAGAGGTCGTTGTAGTTGGCTCCGGGCTGCGGCCTCCTGAGGCAGCCGGATCTTCCCAGGTCCGCTCCATTTCGCGCGGTGCTCCGGCTCTGAGTGGGGGTCCTTGGAGTGGGGTTGTGGCCAGGGCCAGCAGAAAGCCAGCTGCGGCTGCCCATGGCATGAAGCGGTAGGCCGCCGGCATGGTCTGAGACCGCTGGCTTTATCTCTGACTGCTGTGCACGCAAACGGCTTGCGCCGGCAGTCAGGTCCCCGGTCAGTCTTCATGAGCTTGCGTGCGTGTATATGTATATCGGAGAGAGGGAGTAGGAAGTGGAGACGAGAGGGGAGAATATGTGTATTTGCACTGCTTCCGTGGCGGGTCTCCTGCTGGTCATTCTTGGTTGTGGCTCTTTACGGACACATTCCCCCGGTAATCGCCAGCAACGCTGCCGATGGGAATTGCCCCCGCGGTGCTCGTGCTTTCCGTTTGGCAGCCGATGGCTTGGCTTGCCTGATATTTTGGAGCTTGGCTTGCTTGCCTGTGGCCCACTCAACATCTTGCTGCTCCAAGAACGTATCCAGCAAGCGTTGCCAGTGCTCCCTGTCTTGGGCTTGCTGCATCCAGTCGGTCCCCGCTGTCTTGATGACTTTGCGTTCATCATCCAGCTGGGAATTGAACTGATGCGGGTGCCTTGCCCCGACGGTTGGATGCAAGCGCTGTTGCGCGTTCCACCAGCGCTGGTTGCGCCATTCGAGGATATCCCTCGTGGGGCTCGGGTGGCGGGCGACGTGCCCCAGCAGTTGCCATCTCACCCTCAAGATGAACGAGCTCCAGCGGCCCCCGCAGCATTTGTTTCGGTAAACTTCCATGCGAGCTTCTCTCAGCGTTCTTTGATGCCATGAGAGCCATTCCTCATGGGGCCCCCGTTTGCGGCCAATGATTTCTCTGATATAATGGTATTGTATGCTGTTCGCAGCTTTGAGGATGTAATCAGATATTGGCCAGGTCTCACAGGCCCACAGTGCCGCGCTCCGTATCAAGGTGATGGATGATCGGAGCCGATCGTCAAGCCGCGCTTCTTTGCACGTAAGGATCTTTTTATTTGCGTGGTAGCCCCGACGTGCTCTGTGCTGCATCTCGCAGACCAGTGCCCCCGGTTGATTGATGAAGGTCAGCGGGGAACCGAGCACTGGCATGATGGACTCAGGGGGGTCCGCGGGTACTGTCCGGTCCCCGATCACACAGCCTTCGGCTGCACTGCGGCTGCACATCACCATCGTCTTCTTGGGGTTAATCTCGAGCCCCCGTTGTCGGAGCCGGGCCTGGGTTGCGTCCAGGCACTTCTGGATCCAGCTGTGGCACGACCCCCAAATGTAGGTATCGTCCATGAATGCCCCGATCCCGTGCGGCGCTGGGGGTAACTTGGGGTCAGGGCCCTGGCGGGGTTCTCCCCGCTGCTGTACCTCGCCAGTCCTTATCTGTTTTGCTGGGAGGAGTCGTACTTGATCCCTTCGGGAACGACGACCTCTTGAAAGCACCAAATGTCAACTTTGTCAAGGGGTGGTGATCCCCGAATCGCAGGCAATAGAACCTCCAACGTCTTAGACGGGGTGAGGCCCCCGAGATTCCAGGTTGCCACAACGAGGTCACGGGTGGGCTGTGGCTGCAATGCCCCCCGTTGTTGGTGAAACTGCCGGCGCTGTTCTTTGGATAGTCACCGCAAAACCGCCGCAAGCGGCCGCCATGCATCTGCGATGGTGTCCCCGGTGACTCCCAGGAGCCTTGCGATCTGCCCGAGGTCGACCCATCCTGGCCCTGCATCAGTGGCCCCCTCTGGCTTTGGGCCCCCGGTCGAAGAGATCTTGCGGTTGTCGTACCACACGGAACCAGTAGCAAACTCCACGTCCAGGGCTTGGTGGGATCCCTGCTGTTCGAGAACCAGGCGCTTGACTTTCGCGGCCAACTGGGCCCTCTTCCTCCGCTCTGGCGGTTGGGACACTGCCATCCAAAGCCGGGACGGCGTCTCCCAAGGTAACGTTTGCGTTACGAACTCGAACGACGGCCTTCTGCACGCGGTCCCTCATCGTGTACGTGTCCTCGTCGGCCCTGGTAGTCATAGGTACGATCACGTATCCTCGGCGGAGCCCCGGGACGAATGCACCTTCCATGTCCACATCGACTTGCAAGTCTCGCAGGACTGTTTTCGCTTTTTCCAACGTGGTCGCGGCCTCCTGGTCCGGGCTCCACCCTCCGACTATGAAGGCGGGTCTGCGGGGTTCCCCGGCATCATGGCGTTCGAGACGTCCCCGGCCTTCGAGCTTGGCGAGCTTCTCTTCAAGGTGGAGGATCTTGTTTGCCAGCTGCTTGGTTTCCGCCCCGACCTGGACTATGGCGACCCCCTGCTTGTCCTGTCGAGCAGAGAGCTCTTGCATGCTGGAGAGGGCCTTGTTGAGCTGCTTGGTGACCCCGCGTTCCACGTCCTCGATGCGGCGGTTTACCTTAGTAATGGCCTCCCCAATCTCCTCCTTGATCTCACGCGAGAGGCGGCTTTGTTGTTGGGCGAAGCCTTCGCGAAGCTCGCCTCGGAGTGCCTGTGCACTGGCTTCCACGGTCAGGGTCGGTGCCAACGTTGTCCCCGCCACTCCACTGCTGTGATCCCCGGCGCTTCGTCCTCGCTTCTGTGGTGAATTCCCTTCATGATCTACTGTCATGTTCCCGAAGGCCACCGGGTCGTCGGCATCAGGGATGGTCATGGCCTCCTGCGACTGGACCTGGGTAGTGCGCGCCCCCGTGTTCTGGCTGTCGTCAGTTCCAGAGGCTTGGCTGGGCGCCCCAGCAGGGGTACCACCTTTTCCGGTCATGTTGCGGGGAATCGTGCCGAAGGTGAGGTCCCCGGGCCGCGCCGATCGCGCCGATCTTGTTCGGGTAGTGGATGCTAAACTCCCCCGCTCGCCACCAAGCGCCGATCCCCTGGTTCTTTGAAGCCACCGAACTCGCGGGAGTCAACGGGGAAGGCGAGGTCGTGTAGTGCAGCAGACTGGTAGTACAGAACGCGCGGGGGCTATGAAGGCACAGGTCTCTCTCTCAGACGTGCGCCCGGGTTGCTCCCCTGGTTACTCTCAGGGCTCGGGGCTCGAACCGCTCACGGCTTGAGCCAAAATGGCTACGGCCAAAATGGCTCTCTCTCTCTCTCTCTCTCTCTCTACCGGGCGTGGGGTTCAGGCCAGCGTTCAGGGCCATCCCCCCGTGCGGTCCACGCACACCCGCATTTCGCGGATGGTTTGCATCCCCCCAGAGTTTCGCTCTGAGAGGCTCGACTTTACAGGCCTCGTCTTTCGGCCCAAACTTCAGCTGGGTTTGTGGCCCGGAGGCGGTGGAAAGGGCCGGTTCCCCCCCGGAGTGTAAACCAAAACTGCTTTCACGTGTTAGAACACTCACTGCACTCTGAGGGCCTGGCCGAGGGTTCGTACAGATGTCAAAAAGGAAACCGCAGTATAGCATCCCAGGTAATGAGCTCAACAACACTGTATGTTGGACACATGTCTCCCCCTCTGACTGTATGCTGTATGCTACTGTGGCATGCATGGGCTCTCTAGATAGGCAATCAACAGTAGGTACAGAGTAGAGTCACATGCCAATACTCCCCCGATCTAGTAGGGCCCATGTTTGCCGTAAAAAGCCGCCTGTAGGCGGCGGCGTCTATGGCTCCCCCCATCGTCGTCATCATTGGGACGTGGGCTTCTGGAGCGGCTTCTCTCACTGTGAAGTTGCCCAGGTCCCCCTTCATGCCATGGTGCCGGCCATGGAAGAGTAGTACCCTGGCTTTCACTTTGTGTTGGGAGCGTGTTCATCTCCCCCACGGCGTTGACGGCTTGTTGGAGGCTAGCGGTCATCATCTCCTCCATTTGGGCAGCTGTGAGTGCTGCTCCCCCTTGCATGTTTGGGGGTTCTTCTCCCCCTGCGGCGTTGGTGGGCTGGTCCGTGGCCTCCGTGGCGCCGTCGCGAAGCTGCGCGGTGGAGCCGTGGTCAGTCTCGGTGTCCCCGTGGTAGGCCGCCGTCTCCTCCTCGGCGGGCTCGTGAGCCGGCGCTGTGGTCGGATCTTCCCCCATATGGTCATCATGTGTCTCCCCCGTTTGGGTAGTCTCGTGCACCGCGTGTGCTCCCCCGAAAAGAGCTCTCTCTCTCTCTCTCTCTCTCTCTCTCTCTCTCTCTCTTCTTCTGCCGGGCGTGAAGGGCGTGCGAGGCCCTTCGGCCCCATGGGCCCCCCATGTGTTATGGGGCGGTTGGAAGGGCGTGAAATAACAACGAGTTACCCTGATTGGCCAAAGACGTGTATTGGACTATAAAGTATCAGGGTTCCTCAGTTGTTTGTGTCACACATGCACAATTTTTACAGTACAGATGTCCCCCTACAGTTGTTTGGTCCCCCGCAAGTGTAACGGCCTCACCTAGTAAACATAGTACACAGAGGAGGCTACCAGGGGACACCGATGAACCGCTCCACGGTTCGCAAGTGCAATCCATACTTTCGCTATTTTTGCGTGATGGCTTCTTTTGTTAAGGTACACTCTAACATCAAGTAATTCTGAACCTAAACAAACAAAACAACTAATGTAGAGTGCCATCACTGATAAACTCGACATGGGCATACTATTCGCAATCTTGTGGAGCTTTTCGGTTGACAACAGGATGGCTATGTAAACCATACCGATCAACAAGTGTACTGACCCTCTAAAAGCACAAGTCATGCTTGCTCCACAAGAATTGACGTTCTGGTACATCGTCGTGGTCCCCCTGCTTTGCAACATTGTGACAAAAAACACACTGACACGACTATGAGAATGTGTATTCGGGGGTCCACCTTCGCATGTTTCTTGCTATCAAAACTTATCTAGGTTTGTGCTTCGTGTCCGTTCCCCAAACAACACACTATTACGGTAGACATCTTGGAAGCACCTTCCGCTATGTTCTGGAACGTAAGGCTTTATAGCTGAAGCAACAGCGAACTACGAGGTACATGCTGGCAAACAACAGTGCAACTACGTACATCATCAGCCGTGTTCCATTCTTTTCTTGAAGCTATGTGGTTTTGCCCGAAGAAGTGGGTCCAAGAACCACTCTCTCTCTCTCTCTCTCTGTCTCTGTCTCTCTCCAAGGTCAGTAGCTCTCCCCGGTCCTCCGCCCCGGACATGGAAGACACAACAAACTCAGCAGCTCTTCTGCCAGTCGCCGCCGCCTGTTCTGGAGCTATTGCCGGTTATCGCTGGAAAGGCTTTCAGCTACAGTAGACGTTTGGGATAGTTCTGCAGCGCCTCTGCAGGAGGCAGGAAGTGTGTCTCTCCGTTTTCCTTGATGCCTAAGTTTCAGAGATCATGATTCATTCGTGTTCCACCATGAACTTTGCCATCCCGCATCCTGAGGCTTGGGCAAAGCAGATCGCCTCTGCTGTTCTTGATGTGGACGGCCTGCTTGGCCTGTGAAGCGAAGGCTTCGGCACAGCTCCATGAAAACTCTGCTAAAGGGGCCTCCATCATCATGTCAGCGGCCTGCTCACCTGTGGTGGGCTCGAACGTCCAGAACCTGAGGTCGCGAATGTCTGCAAACCCCGAGACAGCAACACTTCATGTCATGATGGTCGACAGTCTGTCTGAGCTGGAAACGCATTGGGATCGAAGGGAGTCCCGTTGCCGTCTGCCACCTCAGAGCTCGAGGAAGTTGACAAAAAAGCCGGGGGACGTCTGCATACTGATCCTCTCAAGGCTCCGGCGCCCTGCGGGCTTTGACCTCGGACTCCAGAGGCTCTGCCGCAAGGCTGGCTTTTTGTCTCGTACCGAGCGGATCACGCAAGTGGCCGCCCTTGAGGCGTGCCCGTACCGTCATCGGGGAACCCAGCTTCACCAAAGGCCTCAAGTTGGAGACCTGGCGACACACCCCTGTTTCTACGTCCCCTCCTCGCAATTCCTCGCGTCAGAGCACCTCTGCCAGCTCGACCTCTGTAAGCTGAGCCGCCTTGAGCTGCCAATGCGAGGTATGCTCGCTTTATGCGAAGTAGTGTGAGGGCTCGACAAAACGGTCCACGCTGGAAGCTCTCCGCGCGGGCTTCTCAACCAAGGTCTTTGTCACTTTGATCCTGGACCCCGTGCTGCACTGCCCATCTTCGCTGAAGAGCCAAGGCCGCCAAGACTTCGCCGGCGCTGCATCTTCTTCTTCTTGCCCATCACGCGAGCCTCGGCTCGAAGAACACTGGCTACGGGAGAAATGGCAAAGAGCCATACCCTGGCAAGCCTTCATGGAAGAGAAGCAACCGCCGAGTGCCTGGCCGCCTTGTGCTGGAAGCTTGCATACCAGCGTGCAATAGCGGACCTTGCCAACCGTTCGATTTGCTTAGGCCCTCAACCCCTTAAACACAATCTGGGGTCCCCTACGCGCCCAAGTAGGCAAACAGGATTAAGGGCAGCAGCAAGAATGATATGTAGCCTGAGAGGCAGGGTCATGGCGCCCTGTCGGAACAGGACATGAAGTCCACGCCGTAACTCAGCGAGCAAGCGAGCGCGTGCAGCAGGCTTTCAGTTGATGTCAGATGTCATACACGTGGTGTTGTGGCGGGGTAGCGACGTCTGGACCCGGACTCGTCCCGTAGCCCTCACAATCCCAGCCTTTAGAAACTGTCTAAAAGGGGCTTCTGGGTCTAGGAACCACTGTGCCTGCGCCTTACCTTCTTAGTCCTTGCATCACGTACAACCAGTAGGTCTGGCCATAGAAGCCCTCATTGCAAACTACTCCCAACCGCCTGAAGCGAAGAGAGCCTGCTTGGCCGCAGGCGCATGTCCTTCTGTGAGTTTGGTTCCTTGCTCGCACGAACGTAACTTGACGCTTTGACCAGTTGGGCGAAGCCTGAGCAGGAGACCTCGAACTCCTGCCCTGTAAATTTCAGGAGTTCCACAATTGACTTGGACCTGCAGACATCTGCATACCACGAGAGTTGCAGCGCATTCGATTTCTGGTTTCGAACTCAGGATGATCCCACGATGCATAGAGGGCGGTAACCGGTAATTGAAACATGGACCAGTCAGCAAAATTTGTCCCCCGGTCATTGGACCGAAACTGAGCGGACCCCGACAAGTTCACAGTCCAGCATTGACAGGCCATACAGGACTGTCGACTGAGATCGAGGCTTTTCAAGAACATCATCCAGCCCATGTCCAAGAATGAAGTGCAAGCAGTTCTGGCGGGACTGCGGCGTGTCCTGCCAACTCGAAAAAGCATGCCTGCACATGCCTGCCCACTTATCGTCTGCTTAGCTACGCACGTCGGAGAATTCTGCGCCTCCTTGGCAACATACTCCACGACTGTCGTCTTGTAGCCATTCTGTGCGTAGGGACGCTGTGCGAAACCACTGGCAACAAGTCAGCATCATTCGGCATCGCTGCCAAGCTTGTCGCAATAACAAGTTTTTCAAAAAATCCCCCCCCCCCCCCCCCCCCCCCCCCCCCCGCCCCACATCGCCTCCCTAAACATCTACTATCTCCCAAGAAGCCGGCAGCCCAGACACGGTCAGGCCTGAACCAACACACCCCAAGCCCCGCATGGCCTTATCCTCAACGCGTGAGACTGGCTGCATCTCACCTCGAGACCACGAAAAGAAAGTGCGGGCGTGCAAAGAGCCATCGTGAGCGATCGAAGAAACACAGACTTGCCGGAGTAGGGTGAAGGCAACCGGTCGTGTTCTGGACGAAGTTCCGAAAAGTCGGGTTCCTGAGCCGCATCTGCTCATCTTCTTTGGACCTGGGCATCGACATATCAAGATCGCATTCGTAAGGGCTACGGCGGCTACGGCTTCTGTTGGTTCAGCCTCCTCCTCCTCCTCCTCCTCCTCCTGCTCCTCCTCTTGTTGGGGCAAAGCGGCGAGACGGTGAACATCATGATGAGCTTGATGTCATTGAACCGAGTTGTCCTGGCAGGGAGCTTCTTCTTTCTCTGCCACCAGCTGGAACACGATGATCTGAGGGGCAAGCACGAAGTCTTTGCAACTGTCGAACTCATAGGCATACTCGATTGGAGATCCAACCTTGCTGAAAACGCCCCGAAGAGTTGCAAGCCCATTCTTCGTCATGTGGCAGGTCGAGAGATCTGAGGCTTCTGCATTTGCTAATTCCGGCGGACAGAGATCCCTGTTCTGAGGCAAGTTGCAGAAATCGTCCACCTGGGCTTATGATCACTAGTGCACTTGCCAAGCCCCAGTGCGGGTTCGCTGAGAAAAAAACTCGCTTCGCTGCAGGCTTCTGGCACATGGCCTGCGGTCGACTCAAGCACTTTCAGCTGCAGTGCGCGAGCTAACACAGAAAGTGGCTTAGCATCTGGATCCTATTCTGAGCACATCAGCACCTTGAACAAGCAGCGGCCTCGTTGTCACCAATCAGAACACAATACCTTTGCAACTCATCCCGTGAAAGCACAACCGACGGGACTGCTCGCGGAGGGGGGCGCTGTTACCCCACCATGACCAGGAACACGTACACTTGTAATTACTCAACACCACAGGATTCGTGCCTTCACGGTGACTTTTAGACCCTAACCTGACAAGAACAGCCTGTACTCAGAGTGGCAAGGGTTTAGACTCTCTAGCTCAACCAGAACAGCCCATACTCACAATAGCCACTTTAATTCCCGTGGGCCACTACCCTGAAACCCCAACCCGCATTGAATCTTTGGTGTGTTTGCTGTGTGCTTGCATTCCGCGTATTACAGGCGACCTTGCGCCAGTCGTGTGCCCCGGAGGACTCCTTGAAGACTCTTCGATTACACAGACTAGGGTGAGGGTACAGTAGGGTTCGGTGAACACTCTCCCATCTTTTCTCTTGTCCACCTTTCCAAGCGGTCAGGGTTCCCCGACGGGTTGGCGCGAGTGCTGCTCGCAAATGCCGCCCATCCAAGAGGAGGAACCGATGGAGAGAGCCACGTTCCAACGACAGTCTTGCAAGAAACCCCCCTTTCCTTCTGGGGACGGGTTGTTTGCCTTTCGATCGATCCGTGCTCGGCTTGGGTTTGCAGCAGACAGTACAAAGTGAAAAGCAAGCACCGAAGATGCGTCTGAGACGATCACTTTATCGTGCTCGGCTTTTTCACCTGGCTTGCAAGAGCAAGAGGTTTCCATGAAGACTGCCCTTGCATGTGCCATACACAATTAAGACTGAATCCCCATTCCCATCCTGCTGGAAGGTCTCCACGCATCGTGACATGGCCTGGCCACAATGCCTAAACACTGATTACGACACTGCTGCATGCACCCACATGCACGCATGCTTCTGCCGTCGCGTCCTTACCCTTGCGACACATGTCATGATGTCCGGAACCCCTGAGCTCGCATGCCATGAAGCTCGTAGACGTGAGTTCATGGGCTAGTTTTCCTCTTGCTCATACGGAGTGAAGCACGAGCCACCAACACCCAAAACCACCACTCCGATGCAGTAGCAGCAGCGGTCGAGGCATCGGCAGCAGTGGTCGGGGCAGCCGCAGCAGCAGCCGCTCTTGATCTTGTTGGTGCTGCTGAACGAACCGCTGCTGGCACAAAACCCGTTGTCTTCAGCAAGAGATCTGGTGTCGCGACTGTTGAATTCTTTCCGTGGGACAGGGATGTGCAAATTTACTGGCCTCGTTGAGGTGCGTGAAGTACTCGTACTGATCCGCCGTGACCGTTGCAAGGGCCTTCTGCCGGTGACAACTTCCACAAGACTGCAACACGCTGTCAGTAAAACAAGGACACTTCGGGGACGCAGTGGCTTGCCTCCTGTTGCAGAGTCAGATTGCTGGTAAAGTCGTGTAGCTTCTGGCTGTTCCTGCAAGGCGCTTAGAACTCTGGGACGTGAAACGACGTGCGATCTTCAGAGCACTTTCTGCCTACGTCGTATACGTTACTCAGTGCCAGTGGCCGAGCCTCAGATTGGAGCACAGAACAGACTTCCAAATCAGACCGTCTTCCCTACGAGACCAGCACTGTCGGGGCAAGGCCGAAGATGTTTGGTTTTGGCTGTCAAGGTGAGACACCCTAGTCTCTCTCGCTGAGGCGACTTTTGCTTTTCTGCACCGCCGGCCTGTGATAAAGCTATGGCATTCAAGCTGAAGAGCTGATCATCCGTGGGGCTTGCTGCAAGCTGGAACTCATCGCGAAATGGTGTGCGACGTTTGATTCGCCTAGACTTCTGCAGGCAAGCCTGTGGAACAACGAAATCGCCCAAAACCAAGCGACCTCGAAGGAGGAAATCAGAGGAAGCGTACTCGACGAAGCGGCTACGGAAACGTATGAGCAAAGCTCAGAGTCGCTTCGTAAGAGCCTCCGCTCCTGCACGATGTACCTGGGAAATCGCTGCACGTCTACAAGCATAAGCCAATATAAAATTGTAGGACCATACTGCATGTTCAGGTGAGCTTGCGAGTGTCCAAGGGACTTAGAAAAGCCGACAGGCAAGTTGCATGCAAGTGCAGGCTTCGTCGGCATTCTCTTGACCTGCCGCGGGCCTTGCTGTCAGCGACCCAGCATCAAATTGGCTGTGTCGCTTGGAGACTTGAGTTGGTATGCCACTAGGCGACTGTGAGGCGGGCAAATGTCTACAGACGGTTTTTGGGAACTCGTCTCAAGTCCTTGCTCTGCACTTTAGGCAAAAGCACAGATCCCTACCAATCTTGGTTGGCCGGGTATCTGCATGAACTGCTGTCTGTGGGGCATGCTCGCCGTAAAGAAATGAATGAGTTTGGCTTTTGCCACAATCATAAGTGTCCTGAGTCCTGTCGAGTTTACCGAGGCTCGCAGCCATGCAGAAGCATGTTCTGAGCCATTACCCACGCGGGATCGAATTTGCCAGTTAATAAGGATCAACGAGCAGTGAGAAAAAGGATGCAGCACCCAGCCGTGCTACTAGCAACCATGACAACAATAAGCACAGCTATCATCACACCTTGCCTTGACAATGTTAATGATGTTAAACCTTTGGATGCTGACAACAACACTTCGTTTGGCAATACCCGACATGAGACGCAGAATGGCAAGCAGGTAAGCAGGTAAATGGATGTGTAGATACACGTGATACTTGGATATACGCATGCATGCCCGGATGTTCGTATGCATGTATGGGTGGAGGATGGATGGACAGACGGACGGACGGACGGAGGGATGGATAGTAATAGCAACGCATATGCTGTATATACAACTTCGCTTTAGCAGTCCGCTAGGACGTGGTGCTCTTGGTTGGCCGGACTTTCTGCCAGGCAGGTCCGACCATGCAGAAGATTGGGGACGCGAGGAATCAGCACCGGTGTCAAGATCGTGCAAGGTGCCGAGTCGGTGCTTTTTATGCACAACTCGCGGATTTAATCAGGATGGCTCCGCTCCAGGAGCGAGAATCCAGGTGAAGAAGCTTCAAATAAAGCTGAGCTTCGTCTCGTTGGCAACAAGATCAAAGCAAGTCTCGCTGCTACGCAAAGCAGATTGGCTGACAGCCGATGGACATGACACCTTCGTGCTTCTAAATGTTAACTGTTAACTTCATGAGTGCTGTGCTGTGCTGGATACGGAACGGACCGATGCTTTCATTGTCCTACACTCGCCTCGACAATGACTTCGCTGCGGAAGGGTTTAGCTGAACAACGAAGATCAAAGCAGTGTCACACCAGCTGACACGGTACCAAGATCCTGCTTGCAGCATTGGTTTACAGACCCGAGCACTTTGAAGTGTGCTCGGGCCACGTGAAAAGTCGAAATAGCTGATCAAATAGCTGAGTCCCAAGACCATGTCACCAAATGGCAAGTCAGCAGCCCATTCGCCGAACCGGCCTATAAGCTGATGGTGATGTCCATCACAGAACCTCTCGGAAGACCAGGAGGTCCGTCTAATCTTTGCTCCAGCCTGGGATTCTGCAAAGCTGCTCAACTCTAGACAGCTTGATCCAATGACCAGCAGAGTCCTCTGAGAGCCTACATCGGGCTTGAAGCCAGCCGCCCGAAACTTCAAACCTGCAGATAAAACGAATCTAACCCCAAATGCGGCTCTGCCACTCGCAGAAGGCTTGCTCCTTTTGCCATGAGGGTCCGCACAGAACGCTGTGAGCTGGCATCCTTGGTTTCAAGGGGCATGGCCAAACTCAACAGAAGCAGTGACTGGATCACTCGATCACTCGACAGACTGTCTTGATCAAGCAAATCAAACATGCTCTGAAGGATTGCATGGACTCGTTCTCCTTACATTGTTCTCCACTCCATTCCTGGTCAAAGTCCGCTGGACCCATAAGCACACTCAAGCCAGGAAGTCAACTGCTGACCAGCTGCTTGGACAAGTCAGGCACCCATGGAGGCGACAGCCGGGATGACTCCTTCCGTGACCTCGCGAGCTATCGCACATGAAAGCTACGAGTAGGTCAGTGGCCTGGCAAGCACGAAAACACGAGTGGCGCATGTTGCCCAGATTCACAACAACGAGAACAATTACTGAGTGACCCCGGGGCAAAAGATCCACCTTTGGGTATTTTGGGTATGTCGAGTCATGTACCATCCGGCACCCGATTTCGCTGTTGCATCGAACTAAAGCCACTGACATGTGCGGCCGACCAACTCGCATGTCTCATTCTGCAAGGAAAAATCCATCAAGCAGCTCGGCCTTGCAAGCAGGCTGAGATTGACCACGCAGAGCAATGACTCGTGCTTTAGAGTTCGGTGCCGAGCTGCTGGAAGTATTGTTGCGGATGACACGCAGCGGGCCTTGTGTCGGCACACTTGCAAATCTACAATTCTACAAGGCATTCAAAATCCGTTTGCAAGAGCCTGGAACTTTTTCCAGGATTCCCAAACTACGCGGACAAGGCTGGCTGACACGCTGCGCCTCGCCGATGCTGACATGTCCAACCACAGTGGCCATCCCGCAGATTCCACATCATCCTGCAATGTAAGACCAGGCGGGGTCAGGTCTGACACTGCGCTGTAACGCTGCGCCCCGGCCTGATCCAGGTCCATGCTTGGCATCTGTCTGAAGGTACTGGGCGGGCAAGATGCGGACGAGACGGACGAGTCTTGCCTGCGAGTCAGCTTAGGCGTGGGAGCTTGCACAAAGGCACCTCAACATACTCAAGCCGCCTGTATACGGAATCGACCCCCTCGAAGAGAGAAGACAGCGAAGGGTCCTTGTTCCCGACAACAGCTGACCTAAACAACGCTTGACTGCACTTTGGTGCTTCTGCAGTCCTCTGCAAGCTTCTCACGGAGATCCATGCGCAGCTCTGACTCATCGTGAGCATGTCGGCCTAGGACAGACAGCTTCACTCCAGCAACTTCTACGACTCTGCAAAAGCTGCGGTTGGTGCCACAAGAACGACATCCCTTCGAGGCTCCAGCAGGCCGCCCCCATTCGGCATTGTCGCATCATGTGAAACTTACCTAACGTGAGCAGCCATAGTAGAACCGTTCAGGGTCACAGGCCCTGTCATGTCTGTTGCAAGACGTGCAGAAAAGAAGCACATCGAAGTCTTGTAGAACCTTGGCGCCATTCACATGCTCATAGGAATTGCGGGAAAAAGCCTGTGATCCTCTAGTCCATCCTGTCCACCGTTGCACTGTTCCCAAAACCATGCTGCAACGAACTTCTAGAATCGCACTCTTTCTGTGCTTCTGCATTCCTCCAAGGATCTTCGTCGTGGCGCGAAGCTCTTCTACACCATGCCTGGGCCAAAACAGGTCAGTCGCGACGTCAAGCCTCTACTAAACCAAATCTTCCCTGGTTTAGGACTTGAGAATACTGTCAGGAGTTTATACATCTCATGGACTTTGACGAGGCTGTCAAACACACACCATGGCACTTGTGAACAGCCTGTCCCGTAGTCAATCGTCTACCCTTTTGCGCCTGAAGCCTCCCCCGACACCGACCCACGAACCTTGTGCTGACACAAAACTATGGCTCACACCTTTCTCGCCTGCTACCTGCGCAGTAGATCTGGCTAGCTATCAAGGGGCACGCAGCCACGTTCAGGTGCTTGCATGCAGCAAGAGAGGCAATTCTCAGACAGCACTGCCAAGCGCTGCATGTTCCTGCTAAACCTCTTATGCAGGAGGAGTTGCGCAAAGAGGCAAGCGCCGTCGTCGCAAGCCTTCGTGTTCAGTCAAACACTGGCATACAAGTATCTTCATGTTCCTGCCATCACCTCCTAATGACCGATACTTCGTGACAAGATCGTTGCACAAGACTGCAGGGCGATGTTGTCCTACACCCGCCGCGCGTCAGTGATTCGAGGTCAAAACGTGTGGCCAAGCAGCCCCAAATTGCATTAAGGCAGGGCAGAGCGATGTCTTGGTGAGATCTGGAAGTTGTTGTAGCTCAAAGCTTCCATGTGCAAAGGTGCCTTGGACAGTCGGCAGCTGGACTGTGATTCCGCTCATCCTCCTTTGACATGTCATTCGCATTTGCCCAAGCTTTGCTCCAGCCGGAAAAATCACGACGGCACTCTATGTCGGCTACCGCCGTGCCCTTAACAATCCGGAATACAGTCAGAGGTTACTAACATAAAATGGGGCGTCATCACGCAGAATGCATACTATGTTGCCACCCAAGCCCTGCCCGTGCCTAACAATGCTAGCATGTCAATGGCTAAGCTCGCGGCACTGAGCTCCGCGAGTGCATTTGCCTTTCTCCTCGGCCATGACCAGATTTGCCATTTTGCGCAGGGTCGGGAGATGTGGGGAGTTGGCTGCACTAGAAGATCTCCACCCACTCCTAGTCCTAATAGCACTGACATTGACCGGCCTTTTCCGGGGACTGCAGGGAAGATGCCACCGGGCGACAAACGCAGGCTGAGAAAGCCGAGCGTCATGGAAAGAGCAAAGCTTCGTTTTCACAAATTGATCTTCGTAGCGAGAGCGATCTCTGTTAGGTACCTTTCGAGGGACACGGCATGACACGGTACAATACTCCCATCCGCCCACTCCAGCGTGTCTGTACTTCTACGGCTACACCCCTAAGCCTTGAATGCAAACCCGTGCACCTTGGATGTCTTTACGCTTGAAGCTTTTTTGGCCGTCATGCCCACCAGCAAATGCCGGGCCTCGGCATCGCGGAAAATCAGACTTGGTCTGGGGAATCGGTTTTTAGCTTCTGGGTAGCTTTGCTGCGCAGTGCTCCTTAGCGCTGGGTCGCTCGCTCAAGGAGCAATGGCACGGGCCGAAATCGCCGCTCAAGTTACCCGTGGTCACTAATTGAATGGCTAAGTGTCCCATTGATTGACGTCGAACCGTTTAAGCTCTGACGAAGGTTGCTGACCGTGGAAAAAAGAGAGCAGCGAAGAGCAGATCTGAGCCAGGCTGGAGAATTGCGACGGGCATTCCTTCTGCTACACCACCAATGGGTTCCCATACCTGGAATTGCTCGGAAGGGTCCGGAGAACCCTGCAAGCAAGATCTCGCAAGATGTCGCGCATGCAAAACATGAGCCGGAGGGGAAGCACAAGGGAGACGTGGGGGAAAGCCCGAATCTTCGTTCGCTGGGAACCAGCTACACTGAAACCCAACATGTGCCCAGAACACATGCAACGCTCGGCCTGTTGAAGATGCCTGTCGAAAACCGTAGCCTGGCAGACGTGCTGAAACTTCCCAAGCATCGTTTCAGTCATGTCGAAACAAAACCCACCGCTCCAGGTGGACATTCGCGGCCAAACTATGAGGAACGCTCTTCTCAGAGAATGCTCTGCAGCCAAGGCATGAAGCATCTGATTGAAACCAGCGGAATGCCACGCCTTCCGCCGGACAGGCCGGTGTGATCCTTCCGCTCAGCAGACTGGGTACACGTCTCGTCAGACACATCACACACCCGTAAGTGAGTAGACATGCTTAGCGATCTGCTCCGATGCCTGGCATCGTAGCTCATCGTAGTTCAGGCTCCCGTAATGATGCTGCTCGTGCCGGAACTTCATAAGAATCCCGAGCATGCCGACTTACACGGCAAGTTCGGACAAACCAAAGGCAGGCTTGGCTTGACATGTCTTCTCACATACTTGTATTGGCAAAAAACGTAGTGCTGCGGATGTTTGTGGGATGCACTAAATGACTTCGGGCAGTGGCGATTCAGTCCCAGACTGCAGCTCTGGCATTCAATCCGCCTGCGGCTTGTTGGTACTGAAGATGTTGCCAAGAAATCTGCTGAACGCGGTGGACGAGTTCAACTTCAGTTCCTGGCACGGGGCGCAGTTCAAGGGTTGTCAAGATGTATTAATATGCCTGCACGGCACTAACCTTAGATGCCGGGAATGTCAAGTGTGAAACAGTCCAAGTCAGTATGAGTCTCGCCTCAACTCGATCCACAAGCTGTTGCAGAGTTCCTTCTCGTTGTCTTTGCATGGCCTCGACGCGTACTCTCAAGACACCGGCAACTTTCGCTGCCCGGCGATAGAAGGGGGACAGAAAGTCGACAGAATGTCAAACAGGCGTTGTCATGTGACTGTTGCGACAACTGGTGATGCAGCCGGAACCTGTCTGGGAACAAAGTAACTGGGCATCCTGCTTCATGCATGTCATTCGAAAAGGACTTCACAACCTGGCGTACTGCTTGCCGACATGCTTCAATAGGAAATGCCAAGGGAAGGAAACCTCAGCTCAGCCACGCTTGTGCTTGAAGGCTCGTAGCGAGCCACCGCAGAGCAGACTTGGCCTGGTGTTGCTGCTCTCGCCGTTCTTTCATGTGGTTCGACGTGTCCATCATCAGCACCTCCAAATCTTCAGGGAGACAGGGCAGACGATGGCAGGCGGTCGGGAATTCGCGACAACGGGGATGCTTCCTGCGGAAATGCACGACCTTGAACGATTGGGACCCTTGAAAGTGGCACAGACGACAGGCCCACGGCCCGCGCCATGTCGATGTTCTCCATCGTGACAAAGGCACTGATGATGGTGTCCGGCTGCAGGAAAGTCTTGTACAGTGCAACCTGGTCACACCACCCAATGGCACAGGGTCACCACGCAGAAAGCTTCAGCTTACCCATGCTTGCTGTGCTTCATGTCACATGTCCCAGGTCAACCCATCGCCACTCAGATTGTGATGACAGGGCATGTCAATGCGTGGCTCAGGAACTACTGTAGATTTTAGCTTCGTGCTCGGGTGTGGGTTCAGGAAGATCGAGCTTTCCTCTCGACTGCTGAGCATCTGGCCCAAACTCCCAAAACAGCCTGCACCAGGCGGCACTGGGAAAGAACATGGCCCATGGGCATGCATCCCTCAAAACTAGATGAAGTCTCTTTACATACTCCCAGTGGATGTGCAAAGAGCCTGGCAGATGAGGCAGGTCAAGATGACCTGGAAAGCTTGCAAGGTCATTTGAAACCGATGTGCTGGCGTTACAACTGCAAAGGACAGCGACTGCTAACATTGTGGGTCAGGCCAAGCGTGGGCAAGACACGTTTTGGAGCCGATTTTGGCGATCTCGTTGCCGCTGCCTTTTCCGATGCTGCTTGCCGGTGGCAACCTGGCATTGGCAGGGCAGTCGAAGCAAGCGGCATCAACGTAGAAGACATACTCGCAGCTGTGGCGACGACGATGAGTTGCTGCATGTAGCTCTCGTCGAGCAGTGCGTCCACGTAATCCTCTGGAACTCCTGATCCAGGCTGCCGGCTGCCACTCGCAGTGAACAACCTGCAGACTTCGTGGCCGGCTGGACTCCTCGCCGGAGCATGTCGAGGCGCGATGGCCGGCTGGACATTCGGCCAGGCGATGCCATGGCGGCTTAGGGGATGCTGGTATTTCTTTCGGTGGCTCGGGAAAAAAACTCCAAGGCCAAAACTTGTTTAACTTCTGCTGGGTTGCTTGGGCCCTAACGGGCCTGGCTCGGGGATGGGGCCTGAAATGGGCCGGCACCGACTGCAGGTTTCCCCGCTTGGAATAAACGACATCACTCATTTAGCGCTCAGACTAATTGCAAGTCTCGGTTTGTACAGTTTGAGCATGTTTGAGCAACAGCCGCGCATGCACGTCAGCGAATCTTCACAGAGGGGAGCAGACAGAAGTCTCTCGTGAAATTGAAAGCACTCTCCCTGTTGTTAGACATCTAGGAGGCTCACACCGTCCTCGTGAGCGCAAAGACCACAACCCTATAGCCTCTTGCTGCTTCCCGTTGCGTAGTGGGCGATATCTTTGCAGCCAGGCTTCCCGCAAGCAGCCGACTTCTGCTCTATTGCAATTCACTTCCATAATTGAGCTGCGCCCGATCCCACCTCCCTGAACATCAGGCTTCATGAAGCCAGAGCGACAAGGAGAGACGGACTGCAAATGCAACGAAGATCAACGAAGTGTGCTCTGAAGGCATACAGATGCGGCCGAGCCGATGTCAGCTCAAACGACCGATGAACTAACACTCCGGTCCGCACGCGTTTTCCTTCAAATTTCTGGAATCCAACTCCGAAGCTTGAGGCTCCTTGAAACAAGAAGCCATCTGTCGCATTACTAAGCCGGCTGCAAGCCTGGCTGCCTAGCGCCGTCGATTCTGCTGGAAGGGCCTGCCTTTTGCGAGTGGCTCCCTCCTGTGTACAGCGCCCTGGTGCTTCTGGAACTGGTGCTTCTGGACCTGACCCACCGAGCCCTTTGCAAGGACTTTGGGCAGAGGGACCACCACGCTTTTTACGTCGCGGCTCTGCCCGGCAGGTGCTACGGAATCATCGTCATCATAGCTGTACTCATCTTCATCGCTGTAGTACTCGTAGCTCGAAGACTGCTCTTCTGTAGGCTTGTGAAGGGGGAGTTTTGGACGTTGGGGCGGGGAGGGAGGCCTCCGAACCTGTGGAAGGTTGCCCAGGTTCCGGGGGAGCGGAGCCGGCGGAGCTTGCAGTGGAGCGTGTCGGTTTCGCTGGGCCGGGTTGCGCTGATAGTTCGGAGGCTCACGGGCGGGAGAGAGACGGCGTGGAGCTCGAAGGGGCTGCCGAGGCTGCTGCCGAGGCTGCTGTCGAGGCTGCTGTCGAGGCTGCCTTCTCGGCCTTGGCGGGGTCGGAGCCTTGCGTGGGGGGAACGGTTCTGTTCTTCGAGTGGGGGGGGGGGCCTGAGCCTGTCGTCTCCGCGGTGGGCCGGGAGGGCTCGGCACGCGGGTGACTTCACGGACGTTACGAACACTTGGAAAACGTCGAGGTGGAGGCGAGAAACGCTCGGTAAGTCGTACCCGGTTTGGTGGAGGGGTACGGCTCCGCGAGTCACGCCGTCTGTCTCGGAACTCCTCGTGGGAATGGTATCTATCGGAACGGGTGCGATCTTGCGTGATGGTACGATGGCTTCTGTAGTCTCTTCCAGCAGCTGCCTCGTCGTAACCGTTGCTGCCGAAACGACCATATCCAGGATCTTTGTTGTAGCCCCTGTGATCATAACCATTCCTGTCATTGTGGTTGCTGCCATATCCGTTGCTCCCGTAAGCACTGCCAGTGTAGCCATTCTTGCCATAATCGTTCTGGTCGTGCTTGTATCGGTCGCGGTACTCGTAGCTCCCGGACTGCCATGGGCTCCACGATGTGCCGTTGTTTTTCCAGTCCTTCTTGTCATCCAGCAGGAATGGCAAGTGGATCCGTGCTCCGTGCTTGCATTTTCGATTCGTGCAGCGTCTTGGATCTTCACGAAAGCACACGGAAAGCCCGCCATCGCGACAGCGACGTTCAATTTCCGATGCGCCATTGAAGTTGTGCTCCATACGGAGCCATAGTGGACGCGAATGTTGCTCGGGCAGGTGCGTGGCTGCCTCTCGGACCAAGAGCCAACCACCCTTTTCTGTAATCCAGTTATGGCTCAAATGGACCTCCCACAGGCGAGGGCAGTGTTTGAAGATGTGCATCAGGTCGTCTTCGACCACAGCATCATCTATGCCATTGTGATGTAGCTTCAGGATCTTCAGCGCCGGGCACTTCTGGCAGAATTTTGCCACTTCCCGAGCTGCATCACCCTCGAGCTTGCACTTTGCGAGGTTCACCTCTGTGAAGTCATAGAGACCTCCGTCAGTCCGACGTGCGCAGATGTGCCAACAGCTGAGCATGAGTATCTTCTTGCTGCCAAGCGCACCGTTCTCATTCGCTTTTTCCTGTTTTCACACAGAGCTCTCGACATCCCGCACTTCACCAACTTGCCCAGTCATGCACCGTGCAACATTCTCCAGCAGCACTCCTGTCCCAAGTACCACTGCACATCCGACAGCTTCTTCATGACTGTCCGCGACAAGTCGAGAACCTGCGAGTGCGATTGAACACGACCTGCTAATTGCCAGTGAGGGAATGGCATACTACTGTCGCAAAAGCGCATCGTTGCGAAAAGCCGTCTGCTTGCCTTCATGGGCCCATCTTCCTGACACATGACAGTCATGGAAGACGCTGCACGACCACAGTGCGGCCGAAATTCTGCTCGCATGTGTCGGTGAAGTCAAGTAACTGCTGGCAGCTCATTGCTCTCGAAACGGGATCCGCCACCGGTGTCGTTCTCCTCTTCTGCCCTGAGGTTCGGGACAAGCTTTCGTAGCATCACGGCAGCCTCAAACCCAGTCTGAGAACGGTGCTGACTGCCAGAAGGACCTGAAGCAGCAGCCCTCAAAACATCCCTAAAGGATTCTCGAAGTCTCACCTTTAACGCTGAGCTCCGAGACCGTGCTGGCTTTCTGCGTGCTCCTGGGTGGTTTCATCTCTCACTTCAGTGTCTCTATCCAGAATGGATAAATGGACACAAGCAGGGCAGATCCTCTTGCAGCGCGCTCGGAGCTGTGAATTCGGCATCCTCGCGGTGTTCCAGATTGCCCTGGCGACTTCAGCTGCAGCAGCGGGCTGTTGCATGGCACTGCACGACTGTGGCATGGCCGTCATTGTGCCCTCCTCGTCGACCGAATGCCGCTACCGCATCTTCTTCTTGACTACCGAACCATCAGTCTCCGAGTCTGCGACGTCTCCGAAGTCTCTGCTCTCTCTGCTCGCAGCCTGGTCATTGCTGTCGTAGTCGACGGCATCCGCGTCAACGTCGCCGCCTGCTTCGACCTGACAGGTGAAATGGCCGCTGCGGTCTCGACGGTCAGAGTTTATCATCGCACGACGGGCACAAACAGCCTCGGCGGCTGCCGCTGTAGATTCTGCAGAGCTACCGCGACTACTGCCACCACCAGCAAATGTTCCAGGATGAGCGATACTCAATCGATAGCTATCATGGCCGGTGGACATCATCAGTTCACTTTGTTGCGAATTACCCTGTTATTCGGGGGGGCATGCTGTAGCATGGCTATCGCAAGCAATTCGACATGCTGTCGTCGGAAGCGTTGCTGCATGGTACTTGTATCTGTTTGTGAGTTCGTTGGGCTGGTGCTGGCGGTGCTGGCGGTGCTGGCAGTGGAACACCCCTCATGACGCCGCTCGTGGTACACGCACCGGAACTTAAGTCGTACTGGCACATGGATAGGTCTGCTGGCCTCCTCTTCCTTTACGTCCATCAAAGCCTTCACAGATTGTGCAACGCGGCGCTAACATCTCGCGCAAGAGGACAAGCGCGTGCAAGCGATGAACCCTTGAATAGCATTCTTCCGTCTGCCTCCTCGGCTTCAGGCTCTTCAGCTTGATCAGGCTGGTCAAGCTGATCATGTGCCTACCCAGGTCTCGTACTTGTTCGAATGAGCAATGGATACGAGCACCCTCAGATGAATCATGTAACACCGCGCAGCACCACGTTCCACACTATCCGGTTACGACTTAATACCAACAGTTGTTGCTGTGCAAGTGTGCCCATGGTATTTGCAGCTCCTAGTCAACCTCGACACCCTTTGCTGCTTTGGATGGGATCCCTTGTCATTCTTTACTGCGAATGCAGCGGAATTCTTCAGAACTTGTGGTGGCCATTACGTGGGGTGTTGGGGGACGGGGGGAGCGGGCCAGAAGTCTGAAATCTCACTGCCCTCTAGTAGGAGTTGTGCACTAGAGGGGGTGTCTACGTGCACATTGGAATGGCAGAAGGCATCCTCTTCGCTTGCTGCTTCTTCCATATCGGCAGAGGAAGCAAGCACTTGAACGTTAGTAATAGCGTCGGACTGCTCTTGGTTTAAGGCTCAAGTACCGAAGATCCACATGCGGTCGTGTTTTGTATTCGTGCTCGTGAGGTTGCTCGACTGCGTCAGCACTTGAGTCGTTCTTGAACCAGAATGCGACCGCTTCATGATTCTCAAGACTGTCGAGAGTTGCAAACTATGTGCACTGATGAACACAATATGCGTTCAACATGCACTCTCGCGCTGGTAGACTCGCTCCAATACCGCATGCCCGAAGCACTCGACTGAGAATTTGGCCATCAGCCATGCCGTGCTAGGAACTGAAGCTATGGCTTTTGGTCGCGAAGCACACCCACTCGGTAGGTCCAGAACTCATCGCACGTGAAGTTTCAAGCATTGCACGAGAATGCGCCAAATGCCTCGGAATGCTCACAGGACTGGAATCTTGGAGCGAAGTAGGAACCAAGTCAAACCCTGACTTAGACGAGGGCTCTCTGTTGCTTTCCAGAAGTGTCCAGAATGTAGGGTGATCAAATGGCCGCTTGATAGGCGAATTTGTAGACATAGCCTTCAATCAGTCAGCCAAGCTCCGCACTTGATGGCAAGCTTTCCCACAGCTTGCACAGCACAGAAGGTCAGTTATTGCACTCTAAGTAGCGTCCCCACGAATCGTCGGAGTCGACACGAAGGTGCCACGTCCCACTCAACCGCTCGAACCACGCAAGCTTCTTCTCTGGTGCTGGTTCCATCAGCTTCTCCAAAGTCTGAGTTTAACGAGTCGTTCAAAGGGAGCCAGCTGGCGTGTTGATTCTGAGATTCCGTCGGCCTCGCCCTAGACTCCTATGGACTCTAAGACGTGCTACGCCTCTTGGTGCTGCCGGCTGGCAACGATCAGCTTTGGGATGGTCCACTTCATCGCGTCTACGTCTACGTGGCCTGCAGTCTGGAGAACCAGCTTGACTCGCATGCTGATTGTGCACGCAATCAATTGCAGAACATCTTGGAAGTGCCTTGTTGAGACAAGCTGTGCAAGCCAACATGGTTCAGATCAGCAATCACCTCAGTCTGTTTGGTTAGCAGAACGCCCACCACATAGGCTCCCCAAACCTGACCCCAAGTCTGAATGCCACTACATGCCACTACGATATCCAGAAATCACACGACCGCGATTTCCAGTGCAACACAGCAGGACCCCTCCTCCAACCGTTGCAAGCGCAGAATCGCTTTACAAAATTTCCTACAGTTTCCTGAGCCGATGTATGATTCGCACAAATGCTCAGAGGCACTCAGATGTGCGGGCTCCCCTCTAAAATAAGTGCGAAGCATGGCACTCGCAAGCACTCGAGCATCAGCGAAGCACGCTGCCGTTCCGCAGGTCCTGAATGCAAAGCAAAAGTGGAGCGAGTTCGCAGCCGCAGCAAGCGATTTCGTTTCTGCGGCGGCAGCTGTCTTGTCAGGAGGGACGCGGGATCCGGCACCAGGGGAAAGCAGCTCCAGCTACAGGTCAAACAGACCAGGCCAATTAGCTGTCCTGAAAACTTCGCTTTGATCTCGATCATGCTGAGCATGCCTTGAAGTGCTCGATGGCTTCGACCGATTCTGGCACGGGCTCGAGCCAGGTTGTGGCCAACGAAGGAACCTGCGAGAACGCAGGCCGAAACATTGAGATGAGGCCGCACTCGCAGAGTCGACTCTCGGGCAACTCCAACTCCTGCCTGCAGCTGCGAGCTTCAGGGCCCGAAGGGTCGCAACGAGAAAGAGCCTTTCTTGGAGAGAGTCCGGCCACACACCTGAAAGCGGAAGACAAGAGCAGAACTGCCCAGGACCAGACTTCCTCGGGCCTGCGCCGAAGCTCAGGGGATCCATCGCCTCGTAGAGTCCAGCCAGAGGTTCCCCAAAGAGCCGTGTGTACTGGGAGGAGGCGTTGCTTTGAACCTTCGGAAGGGACGGTAGGGCGGTGGGGAGCTCGAAACTCACCCGCCCCTGAAGAAGCTGTTGGCCGCAGGTTCCAACGCGAGTGCCGCCGAGCTGCCTTGCCTGCATGAGCCATGTCCGAACGGAACAGCGCCCGCGCAACCAACGCCACCGGACGGCGCGCAGGTCGGAGCTTCCGCTTGCGCGGAAGCTCCGTCTGAGTCTTTACTCCTCGCAGTGTTCGCATCAAGCAAGGTAAGCGGGACAGAGAGTAGCGGTTTGCTTCTGCCTGGCCCTGGCCTTGCCAAGGGCACTCGGCGTATTCAGAAAGAGGACTTGAGCAGAGGGTTGAACCATGACCGCCATTGCCGCCATTCGTGAAGTAGCCGCGGCAGCCAAAGTGAACCTGGGCTCTTGGATCCCGGTTGCACTCCCTTGGATGTTCTGGTGTGATACTCCTCTCCAAGCCGAGCATCCCAAACACCACCGTGCACGCACCCATAGTTCTGATGCAAAACACACGGCAGACTGCCCTTCAGCTGCTGGATCACACGAGCAGAGCAGTCTGTCGTTTCCTTCCGCCTGGCACCGTCACATGATGACTGGTGTGTAATGTTTGGACGCCCACTCAAGGATACCACTCTGCTTGTATAGATTCCCGAACATCCACAACGCTGACAACGCCTCTTCCTCAGGACAATGGCGTTTGCATTCCATGGGCAGCAAAGCAATCCTCCAAGCGCTCCAACGTGGCGGCCTCAGAAACACCCGCACGAATGCGCGTTTTCCCTTCACCATCTCAGCAACTTGAGCTGAGTAAGCCCATGGCTGGCATCCCTGTCAACCGCGTAGCCTTGCATGAATCCATCACATGAATCTCTGTTCCCAAAAGGCTCAAGTAGAGACCTCGATGGCGAAGAGCTCGAACGAGATCCCGTCTTTTTGCGTCTTGCAAGGGCCTCTCGAAAGAATTCCGAAAGAAGTTACTGACAGACTCTTCATCGAGCTTCCCGTCGATAGCCCTAGATATCATTGCAAAAGAACCACGACTGATGATGCAGAATGGATTGCATCGTGGTCAGATCTGCCGCAACATGGCTTCATCATTTAGGCACCCGCAGTTACCTCTCTTCTTCTCGTCTTGCTTTCTGGCGACGGGGTCTGCCAGCTGACACCGAAACCGATTGCCCGGCATCGCGGGTGAATACCTCTGTGCAAACGATGACGAGACTCCGTCGTGCGGGTAGTTTCTTCGTTTTTCCCAGGTTTTGTGGGCGTGCGATACGCGCACCGCGCATTCAGTCGGGCTCCATATTCCAGGTTTTCGAGCAATGACGGGCAGGTGTCGGGTGTCAGACAGGGTAAGGTTACAGCGGGACAATCCGAGAGGTTGTCAGCATCGGTCCATCTTTTTGTTGAGCCGTTCATTTGCGACAGCTCTTTCATCAGCTGCTTCCGCCTCATCTTTCTGCAGCCGGGCCGTCATACTCTCGGCAGAACGATTGCTGCGAATGGATGCTCAAGTGCTTGCCAATCGCCACCGATCAAAGCGTGAGGTCAGCTCACCGAACATTAGTGCTCATCAAGGTGCAACTGCTCCAGTCAAAAATGGTTGCTCACTCAAGTCTCGTGTTAGCTGCTTGCCTGCTATTTTGGATACACTATACACTTCTCGAGCTTGTGCAGGTCATCCTCCTTCTCTCTCGGAGGCTGCGCTCTCCTCCTCTTCTGCTTCACCATAGCCCAGAGACTATACCCTCTTTCGCTCTGTTACAGCTTTCGGGATGGGTGTGTGTGTGTGTGTGTGTGCGCAGGAGTTCGAGAATCAGGAATGCTCCGTCAACCTCCGACATATGCCAAGCGATCGCATCGCCCGAACACAGCTCAAACTAGGCAAGGCATCGGCCCATACACACACGTCTAGAGTCTAGCGGAAACATACACACGTCAAGCTGCCAACCTGCCAATCGGCATGGTCAGAATGACGCCCTCCCGGCCCAAGGTGAGCTCTCTTGCGAGCCTCCCCAGAGTGTGTTTCTCAGAGTTTGTGAAATCTCGGATCCGTATGGGCATGGCAGGCCTTGGAATCAGGTGGCGGGGAATCTCCGGAAAGAGATTGAGAGCCTTGGCTAGTTCGGCCCTAGCACACATCGTGGCGGAAGGTCGGCCAATGAACATCAAGCCACCAGTGCCCAGTCGCTCTTCGAAACACCTTGCAACCAGTGGCACCAGAGCTTCGTCTCCTTTGGGGCGAGAGCCTGGCGTCGCACAGGCTCGAAACCTGATTGGCCAAGGGAGCTACGGAGCTACGCCGCCTTCAATTCTGGATCAACTCGAGGAGCCGGTGGCACCTCTGACAAGCTGCAAGAGGCCAGCTTTGGGCGGCGAGACATGCTAGATTAGGAGCTGTCTCCCACCTCGGCCCCACATGCTGCCTCTGCCCACGCGCCCAAGCCACGAGGATGCACAACATCGGCACACAGTCCGCGATGTTCAGCAGTGAACTCCACCATGCAATTCCCTTAGGGTGGAGGAGTAGGCCCGAGTAGGCACGCAGATTCTGGCTTTCTCTCCAGCTTGCCAGGGTGCCATCTATGGCCACCGCTGGCAGGCCCCAGCGTGCCAGCTGCTCCTGAGCAAAACAAACTCGCATGGCGAGAGAAGCACCTAAGCACGCCTTTGCACTGGCCGTCGCTTCGTTGACCCTTACATTCAAGACCAGGCGTCTGCCAAAGCCCCACGTCCAGCCCCCAGGATCAAAATCTTTGGTGGTCGTGACTGGCCTCGAGATTCCTTTCGTCATGGCATGCAGGACAGCCGCGCGTGGGGCAAATGCAACGAACGTGCCTTCGCCCCCCATTCCGCCAAGAAGAAATCGGCCAGACCCGCTGCAAAGATCCCATCGTACGGCAAGAGCCGAGTTTCCGTTTTCGCGCTTCCAGGTGATGCAGCCTGCCCGAAGGAGATGGTTTGAGATGGCATCGCATGCTCAGAGACTCTCTCGAGAATTGCCAGCATGGAATGGTCGACGCGAGGTTTCTCACCTGCCTGCCGCTGCAAGTAGGCTTGGAACATGCTTCCCATCAAGGGCGAGGTGTCCCAGTCGTGTGTCCAATACCCGTGAGGGTGACGCTCGGGTAGCTGCTTGCAGGAGGAGTCCGGTATCCTGGGCCAGCTTCTGAAAACTCAGCAACATACATCCCATTACATCCCGCACAAGTCCCTGTCGAGCGGCTGGGTGAGGTGGCTGAAGCAGATGTCGCTTCTTAGTCGGACGGTGACTCCGGGATTTGTTGAAGCCTGCAAGCGGCGAGAAAGGCTCAAAACTCCCACGATCAAAGGCACCTCAAGTCGACAGGGGCCAGGATTTCAAGCAGTTCGCTGCCTGCCTGGAATGTCAGCATCCGAGCTTCGAGAACGTTTTCTGGTCCTCTTTCAAGCGGTGCGAACCAAGAAACGACACGACTGCATGACTCAGGATATTTTGAGGGCGCCAAAGAACCGGGAACAAAGAACTCAGCAACCGCATGGTGCCGTGTTGGCACACACGTACACATGCAGTCACACGCACGAGCACCAGCGCGCGCACAGGCGCGCGTGCGCGTGAGCGTCATCACACGTCCGTGGTTTCCTCTGTCGGGTTAGGCCGATCCGGTTATCGGAGCTACTTGTACCGACGGTCCTATGCCGATGTCGGTCCTGGATACGCCAAGCCACGAGCCGAGTGCTCGGGGCAGGGCCAGAGCTTGCCGAAGGCCCGGAGCCGATGTGGAGCTCCGCTCTCCGAAGTCTCCGCAGGCTCCAACTGGAGGTGGCCACGTCGTGCACAGGCCTTACCAAAAAGCTCTGCACTCTTCGGCCGAAGAACGGTGAACTTGACCGCGCTGTGAGGAGAACCTATATGCTGCTTTCAAGAGACGGTGCGAAGTCCGGGATCATAGTGTTGCCAGCTTCTTTTGTCGAGCATCCACCGGTAGGTCGTGAAGTACGCGTCCATCAACCGAGGCGGGCCCATTGCGAATCTTCAGGGGTTGAACCGTTGCCCCACACGATTCTTTGGCGTCCTCCTCTTCACTTAGAGGATCGTGCGACTTAGTAAGCAAGCTTATAAGTACCTTAATTGGGGCTATAAGTAGTCATACATAAGTATAGTTATCCTAATTATAACCCTAGTTACTAAGTCCCATGACCCTTTAAGCATAATAGGAGCTACAAGCTGCCTGTCTGGCATTGCAATCCACTGACGATCAGGGATGGCATATGCCCAGATGGTATTCTCCTCATCAAAAACCGCCACATCCTGCGCACTAAACAGCTCTAACTCTGACTGCTTGGCATGAACTATAGCTGATTAACAGTTAAGTGTAAACGCCTTCGGGAAGATCGCGATGCGCAAGTCCAGCCGCATTCGGGCCACCCTCCAATACGAAACCCGGAACCTGCGCCGCGGGATCTGCAGCTCCGTGCGTCTAGGCTCGGGATCGGAGATATCTCATACAGCTTTGCTGCTACCCACCACATGATTGGGAATGCATGCAGGACCATGAAAAACAGCAACACAGTACATTGCAAGCAGTCTCCAACACGAGCAGTTCGCGCCACGGCAAGGCTTTCGCACGATTTTCTCTGCTGGTTCTCGGCTTCGCTGCCTCTCCGGTAAACCTGGCAAAAAGGATTCGCTGAAGACTTTGAGGGCTTAGGAAGGTGACGAAAATGCCCAGCGGAATCAGGTCGGACTTACCGGATCCCGGGAATCGGGGCACGTCCACGGCGCACTCCACCTCCCGAGTACTTCCTACGACACAAAGATACACAAAGACCGTCCGCAACAGCATGAAGGCATATGCTGAAAGCTAAAGATGCGACAAGTCCTAGGCATGATTTTCAGCTCAAGCTTCTGAAGAAAGGCGTCGCCAAGCAGTACGGAGCAATGATGTCACTGCAGCTACTGTTTCGCCTCCTCCACCGGATGCAACCATTTCAAGCACCAGAACAACAGCGTGTCGAGTGCAGCGAGCAGCAGAAACAGCCTTGGTCTGCGAATGTCTGCGAGGCTCATCCCATCCATTCCAGCGCGCTGTGCAAAGACTCTTGGCTGTTAAGTTGCAGGCTTGCCGGACACGGGTCCAACCCGCAAGAAGCGCAGCAAACGCTGACGCAAGCAAACTCGTGGAAGTTTCACCTCGGCGGTCTCGGGTGTTAAAGCATGTCACAACCTTGCCTCTCCAAAACCGTTGAACCATGACGATCCTGCAACGTACATGTAGTGGCTTGTTCATGTTGATCGGCATGCAGCTGACGCTTCTGCAACCCGTCTGAGCATGCAGCAACCTTGCGGTATACCTTTTCCGTCCTCTCTGCAATGTCCTGGGTCATTCTTTGCTAAGCTAGACAATCATGAAACCCGCACACTTCACTGTCACTGAATTGCATTCTGCACTATGCTATCGGAGCATTCAAGAAAACTACCAGTAGTTCTGCGCAAGCCAGGCTGGGGTTGGTGCGAGCCAGGAGTACATCCCGCGCACCTCTTCATGAAAAGTCGCGGCTGCCTGGCTGGCAGCTGCAAATTTCTGGACCGCGGCAAACTCTTGATTCGTCATTGCTCTGATGGCATTCGCAACAGGACGTTCCAGAAGAGTCCCACAGCTGAAAACCTGCTACCAACAGCAGGCAGCCCTTCCGATGTGTCTTCGCCTCCCGGGGAGGGAGTGAGCCGAGAGCATCCTCCAAGGCCTCTCAGGACGTGAACATCGAAAAGTGAGCTGCAGGCCAAAGCCAAGGAAGGCAGCTATGATGGCCGTAAAACTGCACCCAAACGAGGCTCCGGAGGTCTTTGCTTGTGTCTACATGCTCCACCTGCACGATGTCGTCCACGCACGGAGCAGCCAGGCGAGTCATGTGAGGCCTTGGCGCTCTGGCTGCCCCCAGCAAAGAGCTTCGCGGCTTGGCAATGATTGCTTGGCTCGCACGTGCTTGTAACAGACTGAAGTGAATGCAGCGATTGGAGGGTATCGTCTTGACTTGTGAGACTCATCACATGAACTCTGCGATGACTAATCCCATTGTAACAGCAAAGCACCAAGGCCTACCAAGTCTACTACCACCCAACTGTTGCAAGGATGTGCGAGGTTCCAGGAGTCAAATTGATCAAAGAGCCAAGAATGACTGTCCATGCAATTGGCTTGAGTTGCAAGTTCACCTCCGGTTGAAGAGTTCAACAACAAAGATCGGGTATTACCTTCGTGAGTGGCGTGGGAGTCTATGAGTGGCGTGGGAGCGATCCTTCAAATCCCAATGCCTGGCACCGAAGGCATTGGGGGCCCCCAGTGCAACGTTTGCATTTGGGATGGAGGACAGGTCCGGCAGAGTTGGCTGGGGTGGTGCTTGCAAGACACACAGAACCATGCGAGGCCGAAGCGGGAGCACTTCGGGGATGCCCCCGACATTGGTCGACACGACCATCAGTCCACAAGCAGCTGCCTCTACCTGGCTTTCAAGATACTGCCACCGAAGGTCTGGATGCAGGGAATAAATCTCAAGCAAGCCAGGTCGACAATAGCAATGCAGAAGGCTTCTGTGAGCGAGGTGTTGAGGAAAATGTCCCCTCTCACAAGAACCTGGCATCACAAGTGCCGGTAAGGCAAACAGCCTGGCAAATCTGATTCTATCGAAACTTCTGCTGGCCTTGCGGACATCTTCATGCGGAACCGATCCCAAAAGCTCCACTCGATCCTAAGGTTGCTGTGCATGGTCATCTGCACCTCCTATGCAACAGCACTTCACTCGCAGCACTTGCACTTGGAGCAACGACGCCCTGAGCTCCTGACGTGAAGATTTTCCTGGAATGCAGGCTCCAGCATCAGCACGCATGCTCACGTATGCACTGCTTGGACCGACTCTCAAAAGCAGAGAAGGGCTCCCTCTCGATCATCTCTTCGAGCAACAGCCTCTTTGGGCCACTGCCACCGATGACCCTGAGATGCAACATGCCGCGACAACTTTGCACACCATGATCACTGATGAACAGGAGAACGCTCTATGCAGAAAAGCCACCATCGCACATCCCGGTTCCTGGCGCAACTCGTGCTCCAAAACTGCCTACACACATCTCCCTGAAATCAACCACGGCTGAACCACCTCCGGCAAATCTCCGGCACGGCACCCACTAGGAGGTCCACGCCCTGCAGCATCAGTTACGAGCTTCCGGCAGCTGAGTTTACGGATTCACTCGTAAGAAAACCAAGCAGAGCAGAACCGGAACCCGCCTTGCGATAAGTGAGGCGACTTACCACCACCACTGTCACAGCTGGTCGCGGTGCTCTCTTGGAAGTGTCCGGGGTAAAGCGCCTGAGGAGGAGCGAGACTGCTGAATCGCTGGAGTATGGAAGTATGGTGTGCAAATCTCGCGGGCCTCGTGTCCACTGCATTCGGAATGACAGAGACATTGGCTGGATTCAAAGATGCTCGCAGCACCAGGTTCTCGCGATTTGTGTGCGACACACAGATGCAGTGCCTTGGACGAATCTTGCAAAACCAAATCCCAGAGAAGGCTACCTGTTCCCTCTGAGCAGGCAGGCCTCGGACTTCCAACTTGTGGCATCCTAGGAAACCCGGTAATGCGATCCAGAGACTCGACGTTGGTCAGGAAGAACTTCAAAAGCTTATTGACCTTGTGGGGAGTCTGACGGCAGTTGAGGGATGCTCAGTTGCCTTCCCCGCCAAGAATGCGACGTGTATGCAAGCAGCATCTGCGAAGCCGAAAAGTGAGTGGTCCGTGTACACGGTGTGATAGCCCATGGTCCGCGCATGGAGTACGCACCTGAGCTCTTGCCCATCGAGAACGAACGCAACGTGAGCAACCAGCAGTGCTGAATGGCTTTCTCTGCAGCCAAACCGCTCGTGCGCTAAGTTGGACGTAGCTTGGTGGCCATGGACGATGTCAATGCGCTCACGAATGAGAACTTTGCGAATCAGCGGAAAAAACGATAGGAATGTAGGAAAGGTACCTCTGATGCAGGGGCAAAAGTTGATGTTGAGGAACAAAAGCAACATTTTGCCGCGGTGCAATTGTCATGGAAAGGCAAGAAAGGAAGATAGTAGACCTTCCTTGGCCATGGGATCAACAATTCTCCAAAGCTTGAGGAAGGCAAGTTGCATCCCAAGAGCAATCCATTCCGCATGTAGCGAACACCTTGTCGAGTCCCACGAAAGTGGGTCACCACGATGACCTCCCAACTCTCAGTCACATGTCTTAAATTCTTTGAGGCAGACACCAAAAAGTCCGTCCCTCCTGAGCTCGGTGCCTTGTGCCCACGCTGAATTAGGCACTCAGAAAGCTGGTAGATGTGCATCTCAACGCCCCCCAGGCCTTCGCTTGCAGTCCGTGTCAAACTGTGAACTCTCTTCCTTTGCATAGTCGGCCACAGCTTCTGCGACCAAGTGACCAGGATGAAAGAAGTCTGACACCATGCAGATGTTCAAAGATCTGTCCTTGTGTAGACTTTGCTAATCTTGTGTGTATGGCCGACGCAAAACCAAACTGAAGGCTGAAGGAGCCTTCAATTTCGTGCGGACCAGATGCCATGTCTTCTTTGGTCATAGATACTTCTCCCACCTGAAGCGTAACAGTCTCAGTATGTCTCAGTTATGCATGTTTCAGCTCACTCAGAGCAACCGTGCCTTGGCTTGGCAGTGGGTCACCAGGTCACATTATAGGGAAGCCGCAAGTGCAGGGCCCACAGGAGCAGGGCTGCTCCCTCACACATGGCTCGTATTTCGGCGCCTTGTTTTGTTGGCTGCAAATGCCCGCCATAGGCCCATAGGCACAGCCGAAGTCTTTTCAAGTAACTCTATTTAGTAAGTTTCGCAAAGCACTGTTTGCTGTCAGAGTACAACGTGTGCTCAGGTTTCTTCCATGATTCAACGTATTCACTACTTTTTGTCTAGAGCCTTGCAAAGTGGCAGAAACGACCACGCCCGGCATCCACTCAGAACATGGTTGACGCAGCTGTGGAACGGCTGCGCCAAGAAAACCAGGCAAACAGCTTGTTTGGGAGGCACCGTCTGGTGTAACGGTGAAGAAGGCGGCCGCAAGTGTCAACGTCACGCCATACGTAGACCTTGGATGAAAGCGTAGCTTGTGACAATCCCAACTGATTGTGCAATGTCCTGCATCACAACGACTTGCAGCACTGAACTGGAGCATGGCATGCCTGATAAAACAACGCCAGCAGACGCAATGATGCCCGGGGCAAACGTCGGGGTCGGCTTTGGGCCCTTCTCGAATCCACTGTAGCTCTTCTGGACTCATGAAGAGGCTGTCAACACAAAGCACCTGAAGAAGCCAGAAATCCGATTGACTGCAGCGTAACATGGCAAACATGAAAGCTGGCCTGGGTTTGCAGTGGAGCGAGTACCTCGCAAGCCCGACCACAGTCCTGCCAGGAATGCATCACGATGTCAAACAATGGAGAGCAACACCCATGACACAGGTTCGATTGGATGTCAACCTCCCGCAACACGCCGCTGACGCATGCGTCTATTTCCCAATTTGCCGAGGCCACAGGCTCAGGCGTCTTGAGGGTTACCTCAGGTTCCCTCCACCTAATCCTCCTCCTTGCAGTCCGAAAGTTTGGAGACACCCGCTTTTGCATTCGTTTGCCCCGGCTTCCCTTCATTTTACCTGATTTGTAGGCCTCCCTCCCCCTCCCCCCCTTCCCTGCTCCCCTCCCCCCCATCAACCCCCCATCCCCCCCCCCTCCCCCCTTCCCCCGCGTGTACCCCACTTTACAACCAGAATCCTTTCTTTACAACCAGAATCCCCACTTCACAACCCAGAAGCTTTTCCGGAATCCCTACTTTGCCACCGGTTGCGAAAGCTTCTTTACAAACCTATTAACTGACAACGTCAAAGCCTGGAATCTCCTGTGTCATCCTTTACAGCAACCATGCAGGTTGGCAAGTAATGTGGGTTGCAATGTGGCCGTTCTTAAGCCGAAACGTATATGTATATGCCTCACAAGTACTGTCAAAATTGTGATATTTGTTTTTGTGTGTTTGTGTTTAGGAAAACACAATGCAAAAGTGCTTTTGTAACAAAAAACCAACCCACCAACCCACCACAGGCAAGGCTAGGAGTATGAAGCAAAGTGCAATCAGCACCTCGCTTCATGGACGGACTCGTTTGATTCTCACCAGAGTGGACATCGTTTCAATTACAGATACATATACATAAAACCAATAGTTGAACCCTAAATGTTACTATATACACTTGAAGTTGTATTTGAGATTTCATGGCCATAGAAGTACTTTCAAAAATACTAGCAGACAATGAGGAAGCTAGGAAGAATTCCAGTTGGCCTGAATCAATAGCATCAAAGACAGGCTGACAGACACATTTTTCATTCGCAGCGATGGAGTCTATCAAAGACGCACGCCTAGCACTACCAAATTCGGGTGAAACGATGAGAGTCATGGGGAGTGCATACCGGAGTCATCACAGATGAAGCCCAGGGCCTCAGCCCACGTCCTGAGCACTGGTAGCGGACGCCACAGACTGTGGCACAAAAGAGAAACCGGCTGCACCCTCGCAGACTGAGCACACTCAGCCAGGACCTTGCAGGCATCTTCAGTCCATCGCAGAAGCCCTGAAGCATCTGCAAGCCGCACGCTGCTGGGTCCGGTAAGGTCAAAACACAGCTCTGGAGGAGGCTCAAGTGAACATGTCAAACGTTCTCCACTGGATACAAAGCACATTCCCTCTAGTTCACCCCAGGCAGGCAAATCGTACGGCTTTCCTTTTGGGAGAGCGCCCTCCGCCGGAAAGACATCCGCAGTCACCATACGGTCTAGGAGCAGAAGGATATTCTCAGAGGCCTCTTGCTTCCAACGGCAGCCTAGAGCTTCGTCCTTCCACAAGGAAACTGTCGCTCGCAAGACACTCAGGGGCTCGACATGTTCCTGAACACACTCCCACAGCTGAGCTTCATCAACAGGGACCCCGTCAGCAAAAGCACGAAGATCACGTAGCAAAGCCTCCGAAACATTCAGCTCTGGCACAGAAGAAGGGGATCGTATAACGGAGCCCTGGACTCGGAAAGGAGGCGCCTGTGGATGAATGTCGCCTTTGAAAACTTCGCCAGGGGCATAGCAACCCCAGTTCGTAAGGCACGCGGGCACACTGGTGAGATGGCGTCGCAATCTGCCAACACTGGCGAAATGTGTGCCACACGCCAAGCACACACGTCCTGCAGCAACCAGGTAGGGCTTGGATCTGTAACCATGGAGTCGAGCAGCGTGACCAGCCCAAGCAACCCGGGTGCGAAAGGCTCGTCGACAGATCAGGCAGAGATCGGAAAAGGCACCGCCACCAATCTCACCGCGGTGGTCTCTCTAAAGGCACCGCCACCAATCTCACCGCGGTGGTCTCTCTTCACACCAGCGACCGAGCTCAATCCTCTAAACAGCCCGTCTAGGGCAGCAACAAGGGAAAGGCGCACAAGTTCAAGTGCACGTGCTCGTTTGACTGCCCCTTTGTAAAGACGCGCGCGATTGCGCATCAGGTCAACCCAATGCTCCCAGCACTCCCTCGGGTGACCAACCGGCACTGTCGCCTGCGTCCATGCAAACAACCAAGCTAAGTCCTGCCACATGAGTTCCGCATAAGGCCGATCAGCACGTATCACAGCCCATAGCTCGAGTGGCGCAGAAACGACAAGCTGCCGAAGATACTGACAGACACACAAACACACACAAGCAGACGGGTTGCAAAGTGGGCGTTCTGAGGATCGGCAGTTGATTAGTGGGGATTCTCACACCGAAAGCAGCGTCTGTGGTTGTAAAGTGGGGATTCTGGTTGTAAAGTGGGGATTCTGGTTGCAAAGCGGGTTAATCTCCCCTTCCCCCCCCCCCTCCCCCCTCCTCCCCCTCTCCCAAAGGAGAAGCAGCGAGGTCCCGCACTGGACACGCAAAGGTTGGGGTTGAGAGGCCCCCCTAGCATGGTGTATACGACATCCACTGCCCCCTCGCCCTGCCGCTGCAGAGCCGAGGCGGGCGGCGTAGCGTTAAAATTATGACACCCAGGATGTGGCTAAATCGTAGACATAGCAAACAAAGGTACAAGCTGACCCAACTCAGCAAATGGCCGACGTATATGACACGTCCTGAGAAGGTACAACCGCGAAAACGTCGAAGCTAGAGAATCGGCGCAGGACCTGCGGATGTCTGTGGGCTTTCTTGCAGACGCCACCAGGATTGCACCGGACGCTCCGGCCTGCTGAAGGTCTGCGACTCCGCTGCGGCTGCGCAGTTGGCCCGTCAAGCACAAACCTGCGGGGGAAGAGCGGTGAGATGCGCCGGTGCGCTGTAAGAAGACGGCCCCTTTGGCCCCTTTGGACCGCCCCCCCTGCGGAGAGCGCCTAGGCGACGTTGCGGGCCGGCCATGGCTGCGTGCAGCACGAAGTGCTCCAAGGACCTCCCCAGACGCGGAGGAGCTTCGCCGACCCAAACCTCTCGAGCTCCCGGGCTCCCCCCGGGCGCCTTCCCTGCAAGAGTCGGATGGCAAGAGCGTCTGAGGCAACGGAGGAAGCATTTCGCCAGATGACACCATGGCGCCAATCTGTCGCCTCTGGTTAAACCGTGCTCCTACAACCGCAACTCACGAAGGGGCCCTTTATTGTCAAACTCCAAGCGACCTCATCTCCAAGAGGTCCTCCAGCGCAAACTTCGTCTGTGCAGCCGAAGAGGGACTGACGAGACACCTGTCAGTCGTATCTTCACGGCCTCTTAGAGATATTGCAGACTCAGTCCGCCGGGCACGGCCCACAGCCACAACCACTCCTTTCACGCGCCGAGCGGCCTTAAAGTGCTCGTAGCCCCGGCTGGAAAGCTTCGGCAATATCCGTGAGATCTCCACGCTCCTTTCAGAATTTCATCCGCTTCACATGCATCCCGCATATCACAACCGCCATGAACTGAGACGTGAGCTCCTCAAATCTAAGGCCAGGAATGTCGGAGACCTTCCTGAAGCCTGCACACGGAAGGTACATGCCATGCAGGCCCCTCTTCACTACTCCGGATGGCAAGCGGCCGGTCCTTGAGCAGCTCTTCAAGCAAAGACAAGATGCAAGCAACCTGGGATGCAAACAATCTTAGATGTCACTTCCTGAATGTAGCAAATCTGCAGCCGCACTACTTACTGCACCCTTTCATTTCAACTCGGGCGTGAGCTTGCAGTCGTGGTCCGTATGCTTGCAGCACGGCAATGGGTGAAGTCGTCGTCGGTGGTAAATGAGTGCATCCTGATCCACGCGCTGGCGCAGTCTTTGGGCAGACAGCTAGTCAGGAAGGATTCGGATACAGGACATAGGCACTGTACAATTTCCCACTGCACCGTCTTCATCTGTCCCGCCTTTAGTTTCCACTGCGGTCATCCGGTTGGCACTGTACAGTCTGGTGTCGAAGTCATGCAAAGCACCCAGGTGGAGAACCTTTCCATTCAATGTCGCTTTTGCAAGGCATGCCGAGCTACATACTGCTTTAACTTAATGCACTGCTGTCCTTCGCATGCGAAGACCGGACGCTTGCCCTGGACACCGTTGTTGAAACTCTCTAGACCAAGACTCTTCTGTCCGTTCAGCACTGAAATCTCGGTTGGACTAGACTCACATCGTGCGCCGGCATGCTGTCGCCGAAAAACGAAATTGATCCAAAGGTGTCTAGAGTCTAGAGATAGCTCCAAGGCTCAAAGACAAAGAGACTCCCATGCTTACCGATTTTGTAGATGGTGCGTACGTAGCCACAGCATCTCTGGTTAATCTCACGAATATCCTACCCTTGTGCAGGCAAAGGGCGGTCCCCCGCAGGCTGCCAAAGATGTGGTGGAGCAGAGCCGGTGAAGGAGCTACCTTCATGCAATGGCTGGAGATGCTGCTTGAAGGAGGCGGACGGGGAGGGATGAGAGCTGAGAGAGATGACACTTAGAGCAGACTATATTCTGTCGCCTCTCCGCAACCTGCACCCCTCAAGCAGGTATGCGCACTACTTTACACCCGCTGGGCGGGAACGTGTTCCCCGCCTCACGTCTCCGCAAGCCGTATGCATAGGCGAGCTCTGGTGCCGAACGCCCCAGCATCTGGCCATCACCAGAGATGTACATGCAGGAAGGGGTGGCTTTGAAACAGCGAATCAAGGGACAAACAAACGTTTGAAGCTTCCTGCACTGGAACACACCAGAATCCACCGGAACCAAATGACCAAACCACCCTGCTCCACGCAGAAAGATATTGCATTTTGAAGAACACCTCCAAAATCTGCTGCGGATGCTCAGGCGCAGACAAGCCTAAGGCCAAACCGTGTTGCGAGGCAGTTTGACAGGTGGCCGACCCGGCCTGGAAGATGTGGTCCGTCTCAGGGGGAAGGCCGCCCCCAGACCGGTCATCTCTCTCCTTCGATGGCTCGAAACGAGGCTTCTAGGTCCCTCCGCCTTGCCGCCTTGCAATGTGCGATCTGAGCATCGCTGTTGCACTTCATGCAATCGTCCAAAAAGCCCAAGAAGCCATCCAAGGGCCGAAAGCCCTCGGAATCCCGATCCTCGATGTCGTGACAAGACATTCCCTCTTTGCACAGTGTTGTAAGGTGCTGAATGCTCTTGGCACAGTCGATTTCGAGGTCCTCCCAAGGCAGCGCTTCTGGGCAGGTCAAATCGTCTGCACCAACCACCTGAAGGGGCCCATTTCCGGACTCGGCTTTCGGAGCACGGCCCGGACGGACGGAGGCCGGGTGCCTCAGACATGATCCAACCCACAGGTCATGCGGGTCACATGTACTTTGCTCCGACCAGTCTTAGGTTCCGACTCGGCAAGAGATTCCAAGCAGGGACGCAGCAAAGCAGCGTCGCAGCGATTCGCCGTTGCAGGACGCAGACAGAGCAGACACCACAGCGAGCGAGCTGGCCACTGCATGCCGAGGGATTCCGTGGACTCGCTGCCATTGCTCGCGGCTTTTCTTCGCGTCGAGTCTAGAAAGACGCAGCGGTGTCGTCTCATGCAGCCGGTTGCTGGTTGAGGGTACTGCAGTGCTCATGGCCGGGAAAGATTAGTCTCAATGACCTGTTGTCCTGGTCGGCTGTCCGAGCCGTCCCGTGCAAACAAAGCTGGCTGGTAGGCGACAGCGACAACGACGACATATCCTTCGTTCGGCAGCACTTGAGCTGTGTTGGCGATCTTTGTTTCCCTCTTGTAGCTGGACGGCCCTGCTGGCAACTTCTTGCTGCCCCACGCTGCCTGCAGAAAAGAACAAACAAGGTGAACGACAGGGAAACCCTTAGCACAAGCTCCCTGGGCGCAACTTGCATCATGAAAGGCTTCGGAGAGTAGTAGGAGAATACCGACGCATCAAGTCGATGCAGTAGCTGTCTATTGCAAAGCTGAGGTTCATGAGGGTCAATCGTGCGTATTGCGGTGATGCAGGCAAGTGCAGCAGATCATATGCTTCGCACATTGTTGACTGTCGGCTCTCGATTTGACATGGCTTTCAACCTAATCCGCCCTCGCCTGCAGTCAGAGCAAGATTCCCGCCTGCTCCTGAAACCAGTCCATCCGGAAAAATGAAATCCAATTGTTGCAGCACCTGCTGAACAATTTGTTCCCGCAGCTCGCTGTCATGCACCTTTCGGGAAGCAAGGACACAATTCTGCTTGTCGCAGGAAGCTTCTAGGTCCATAAAATCTTGGCCTCGTCGCGCACGGACCTCCGCAGCTTCTTCTTCAAGGCCCTGCCATTTTCGAGGAGATGCTTCTCGCAGGCAGAGGGGATGCATCGCGGCCTAACTTCCAGCGGGTACAGCGCGTTGGCACGGACGACCCGCGCCTAGAATCGGACATCTGAGACTTTATGGAACCTCCTTTCTGGTTGAAGCTGTTCCGGATCTGCTACGAGTGGCCGCCTGTAATTTCGCGCTGAAAAGATCTGGATCTTCACGGAATGGCACGATCCAAGCATCTACTGCTGCTGCACGAAGGAGTACAAGCCTCAGCAAACGCCACAATCTAGCAAGCATGCTAAAAATGTCACCATCTGAAGCATAAAATGCTTGGACAAAGAATGGCAAAGCACCGTCTAGATTGCTGCAACTTTCCGAAGGTCACGACGAGAGGGCCTGTCTCTATGGCAGACCGCGACGAAGTTTTAAAGCCGAGGGACCTCCACCCCTCCTCACGCAGCTGCTGCACCCGCAAGCGAGGTGTGGCCCGGAGTCGCGGGGTCGTCCAAACGGAGCCTGCAGAGGCCTCCAGGACAAAGTCGCGTTGTGAGAGCACCTTGCAAGACGAAACAAAAATCGACTCCATCAATTCAGAGATGCTCCGAGAACGACGCCACAATGCCCAGGCGGAAGAAAGGATGCCCCCAGTCCACGTCGTAGCAGCCTTGACATTGCAAGACACATCCTACTCCGAACAAAGACACGATGCAGAGGTGATGCGAGCACCGATCACATGCAAGCAGAATCCATGGCCGCCCATGAATCGTTACAGTCTTACATCCCTTCCGTTGCGAGTCTAGTCCACTCCAGTCCTCCTGAACCGGGATCATGGAACATGACCCCTATGTTTCTCCTTCTGCTTTTTTGGCGTCTCCGGCCTGCAGGCCACCGGAGCTCGAAGCCGCCACTGCCACGCGCTGTCTCGGCTGCGAGACGGCCCAAGGGATGCGGAGCGGCTCGCAGCAGCTGCGCCGTATTCAAAGCCTCGGTGCCATGAAGGGGCCACGGAGAAGCATGAGCATCTTTCACAGAGAACTCATCAGGGAGGAAACTCGCCAACAGCACGGACGCCAAACGTTGCGGCCTGGCGACAGCCAAGACTGAGCCCAGCAGCTGCTTGGCTTTTGACAGACCCTCGCTTTCCTTCAGCTGCACAGGACACGAATGCGGCCGCACACGACGCACGTCACCTAGTCGCCTGCCTGTTTTCGTCGTGCCATCTCCCAGCGGATTGCAAGCTCATCGAGCAGAGAGCGACCTGCCATGTCGATTCCCAACCCAAGATCTCAAGTGTTCCCTGCCACACTGCGCAATGTGTTAACGTTGGCAGCTCGGGTCCGCTGTTCCCTTCAAAGGCTTTAGCCTTCACTTTAATCTGGCTTCGAGTTGGGCTGTTGGCCTGTACTGCTTGCTGCTTGCTCGTGCATGTGCGCTGCAAGGCCGGGATCAACTGGAGCATATTCTCTGGTGATCGGAACCAGACAGGGTGGCCTCCGCTGTCTGCCGCGTCTGTCGCACTCTCCTCTATTGCTCTGGAGTCGCCCAGGAGCTCCTGAAGAGTCGATTCGGAACGCGCGATGCAACAAGTCAGAGAGCAGACACCCAAGCCGAAGCCGCCAGCTGGTCCTTATCCTCGCGGCTCTCGAGCAACTTCGGCTCCGGACTGCACATGCCAAGACGCGAATGAACAGTCCCATGGCTGCCTCTGCGATCACACATCGCGCACCTACCCGAGAGCGACAGCAGCTCCTGCGGACTCCGCAATGGACGCCCGACTTCCAGCAGCACCTGTCAACTTGCTGAGATTTGAAGCAAAGAGCATTCGAAAGGGGACGGAACTCACGGACAGTTGCACCTGCTCTGCCACAGGAGAATGGCTCGCCTGCAGAGCTTGCAGGTGCCTGCAAGCAAGCAAGCCGAAAAGGAATCTGGTCGAGGCATTCGGACGGGATTGCGCTGGATGGCACACAAGGTGGAACCAACTCTTCTTCCAGGCGCACACATGCGGTCTCTGCTTTCTTCCTGCTTCTTTCTTTTCTGCCTTATTTTGAAGTTGCAGGATTCACTGCACTCCTGCTGGTGTTGATGTTATTCCTGGCGGTAACGATTGCGGAAGCGCCAAAAAACCAAGTTGGTGGGACCGAGCAGGAGCCAACGAACCTTTGAGCCCCAGGCCAGAAAATCAGGGAGCTGTAGCAAACCACCAAGGCACGAGAAACAGGCAGGCAGCAGCGGAACCAAGAAGCCAAAAATCACAGACCAGCAAGTCACACAATATAGTCAGCTAAATATAAGCCGCCGCAAGGCTATGAGCAAGAAAACCAACATGCCATGCGGCTAAACAAGGAGTTGGCTGCAGCCAATCCAGACCAGGACGAAAATACTTGTATCCTCTTGTTTCTGAAAAGGATGTACAACAACCAGATATGAGGAAGGATGATAGTACAGCACAACAGCACAAAAGACCTCTTAACCTGCGTCTCTTGCATGTCCTGGTCGTAGCAATTGCCTTGGTTTTGCTTTCGCCCTCTCTCCAGCTTGCTTTCTGCTGCAAGTCTGAAGTCTACAGGGCTGCCCCTGCTCTCGCCGCACGCGCGCCCACTGTGGCAGGGAATGAAAGGAGGCAGGATGCTCACAACGCAGTTTCTACTTACCCTGTTGCGGTGAAGGCAGGGCTCCTTTGCAGATCAACACAACCATCACATGTACATCATAGAAGGACCCAATTCCTGTAAGCCCCGCTAAGAGAGCCTGTGCGGATTATAACCACAGCAACAGCGCCAGCGGTGACTCCCCGATCGTCCTGACTCGCTCCTTCTTTCCTACAAAAACCATGCAGCTATCTTCCCGCCCCCCCCCCCCCCCCCCCCAAACGTGCTGCAGGTGCCCCCCACGTCATAGGGGCGTGTCTCGCTGATGCTCTCATCGTCTTAATACATCGTCTTGTATGAACCCTAATTATGTTTCACACTGTTGTTTCACACTGACCGGTAATCCCAGTCGTGTGTTTACTTTTTCGTGTTGTTGTTTCCTTGCTCCATCTGGTCTGTCCTTCATACCACCAAGACTTAGACATCATCACATAAAGCAAGCACAATGAACATACCTTCCGGACATTGTGCCCTGCCACTGAAGTTTCGCTCCGAACACGACATAGTGATATCTCGTGTCCATGACGAATGGCATGTAGCATGACGTGTAAGTTTCTTTCACGTCTGCGTGCTGAAGGCGCGCACGTCTGCTCACGTTGCCATGATCTCAATTAAAACGATTTTACTAAGCTACCTCTTTGCATGATCAAAGCCCTGAACCTCCCTGTAGGATTGAAGGGCCCCTGTGACGCGCCTGGCTGCAACTCCAGGCACAACTAAACGGACGGCGTCGAGAGAAGCGAAGAGCAGCAAAGCCTTCAAGAAGCAAGTGCTGCTTTCAGAAGGCTTTAGAAGTCCATGGGAGGGATCTTCAATCGGCCTGGCTTCGGATTCCCAGCACATACCTCAGTGCAGCATTGGCATCCATGCACACTCGACATGCCGCTGCGACAAAAAGACCATCTGGGCATGTGGCGTCGCAACTGTCTCGCGACACAGGAAGGTCAACAGCCAATCCACACTAGCCGCCGCCCTGCAAAAGCTCAAACGAGTTCTTTCGAGGTTCAGTGGCACAGACATCGGATCTCCTTGGCACCAAATCCAGTGTGCAGAGTGACCAGAGTGCAACCAAAGCAGGCCGAGGTCGAAGATCGGTGCCATGAGGGTCCTGCACCTGGCATACCCTCAGCTAGACTCCAGCTGGACGCATCGAAACACTTCCAGACCAGGAGCCTCCCAGCCCTCCAACTCAGCAACGAGAAGCTCCACCAGCTCCGCCTCCCGCTCTCCAAGCTGCCTCGGTCGAGCTCGAAGCGCACGCGCACAAGCGCATGCGCACAAAAACTGCGCACTCGCCACATAAACAACTCGGGAGGCTCGCGGCTCGCATCCAAAGTCACACATCAAAAGAAGCGAAAAACAGCGCAGGTCCTTCGGCTCGCGTGTCGCGTTCCCTCCACCTAAACTCCTTGCGAGCTGAGGATCGCCAAGGCCCACAGAGCCTCAGGTCCAGGATTCATGGATCTTCTTTGAGAGAAGGGGTCATCAACGAATTCGGAACATACAGCAGCCAAAGTGTGGTTCATGCTGTGTCACGCATGAATCCAAGAACGAATCCCACCTTTTGAAACCACACTGCTTCTCTTTCCGATTGTCACTGCTCCGTCTGATTCTGCATGATACCAACAAGCCCTTCCCTGCTTTTCCAAACTATCTCGACCCTTGAGTTCTGACAGTGCAACTAAAAACGTGCGACACAAAATAGTTCAGGCGTGCACCTTTCACCGTTCAATCCATGAAGCGGGCCTACCAAGTTTCGACCCCATCAGCAAGCCTGGTCTCCACACAGTTTCCGGCATTGAAGAAGCGACGAAAAGACCCTGCTTGTAAAGGAAAGCATAAACAAGGACCGTCAGCGCAGTATTCTCGGGTCAATCTGAAAGCCGCGGTGACGACCCGAACCACAGCCAACTCATCATGACATATAGTCACCGTCGGCTACCCTCGCTAAGAGCATCTCTTGTCAGACAGCTGACAGCAATCCAATTCCCAGACAAACACAGAGGCCTTCAGAAATCATCATCTTCAGACAGTCGGAGATCTAACCACTTCAGCAAATTTGAACCCTGTGGTCCACTCCCGCATGGCAACCTTGGTGCCTTCAGTGTGCCTCATTGCTTGCTGCCAGCAGAGTGGCTCTGGCTGTGTTGCGTCGTGACAGTCTTCCCCCGTTGGCGCGGTATCTGGCCACAATCGCCTCTGATTTCAAGAAAGCGGGGGCGCCTGCGTAAGAGAGAGCTGAGCCATGCCAAGTGCAGACGAGGCGCATCGGCAACTGCTCCACAGCCGATGAGGCCCTGTTGGCCGAAGGCCTCAAGGATGTCCACCAGCTCCACCATGCCCATCCTCTTGCAGTCTTGCAGCTAGAAGACATGCACCCAAGTCTAAGTGCATTGCAATCTCCTCGCCAGCATACCCGTAGGTTGATGAAGTTGAAGTACCGCATCTGTGGGCAGATCTGCGGCTCCTGTGATATGATGTGCAGAGGACTGAAGTGTGCTGACCCACCACCGCCAGCGGCGTGCTCCTCCGCCATCAGACTCGGGGGATGCCAGGCGCCTGGTCGGTTGCTTCTGCGTGCTCATGCTCGGAGATCAACGTGTCACAGATGCAACCGAGACAAACCAGTCGCGCCTTGAACTGCTTTGAAGGGGGGATGGGCTCAGTGCTCGCAACATGCGAAGCAAAAGCCTCGAATCCTGCATTGCCAGAGCGATACTTGCGTCAAAGTCAAGGACGCAAAATTAAGCATTGGAAGCTGCCAAAGTCTGCTCCCTCTGCACACACAGGCCAGGAGAACAGCGTTCAAGGTCTACTCCTGCCTGAATTCCGAGAATGCAGCGAACCCGGTCAAGCTTCCTCGAACTTCAGCTCTGGGAACGATTTGATCGCTGCAGCCGCCTACATCGGGATGATGAGATCTATCGACGAACGAAGCAAAAGCGAGACCGCAGCCACCTCCGCTGGTGTGAGTATCGCCCATGGCCTCTGGTCACCAAGGCCTCCGGACACCCCCCCGCTCCAGGAAGGTTTACTCTCCCGGAAGGGACCGCCATGCAGGGCAAGCCATGGGCACGCCTGCAGCCTGGCTTTCGAGGGAAGATGCCAAGCGAGCATAGGCCGCTTCGAAAACGTGGCGATAGTCCTAAGTTCAGGGACTGGCTCAGAACTCGGGAGTCACATCAGCAAACAAAAGGAATGACACCGATCAAACCCAGCCTTGTAGCTGTAGCCCTTCAAGCTTTCGATGCAGCTTGCCACCTCTCGCTAGAGAGCCCTCTACTCCAGTTCTTATGAAAAACGAAGCAACCATTAAGTACCGCGCCAACATGCAGGACTGCTTAGCGCTCGCAACAGGTATAAGGACTTCAAATTCACACGGAAAACTTATGTCAGCACTTCTACCGATACCAATACCACTACGACTACTCCTCCTACTCCTACCTCTGCCGCATAGTCCTACCGCTACCTGTACTGCTCCTACTCCTGCTACACGTGCCTACGCCTGCGCTTTCCTGCGCCTTCGCCTGTGCCTGCGCCTCCTCCTCCTTCCTCTGCCTCCGACTCCTCCTACAGTAATGCTGCTTCTGCTGCTGCTCCGGCTGCTACTCCGACAACTCAAATGCGACTGAGCACGACCTGCTCTTACAACTACAGCTGCAGCTACCACTGCTACTAGCACAGCACGAACGATGATTAGAGTGGGAACAATGCGGATTTGCGACAACGATCGCAGTTGCCGATGACCACAACTTCGGCGGCAGCTGATTCTGATCTTTCCGCACCCCAAGCTCCCAAACCTTTCGCCTGTTTCGGCTCCATGCCATGAAGGAGGGCACCGAAGGCCAGGCAAAGCGGAAGCCGCAACTCCTCTCGAGGAACTGGCCCGCGCACCAAGCCTCCGGTGTCGAGCCCACCCCATCCGGTCGAATCTATCAGCACGTGCTACAATCAGTCCAGTTCAATGTATCCCTCACGTAGAAGGATTGCCAGCTCAGAATCTGGCGCGTAGCATAGGCGAGGGACACGAAAGCAGCAGGTGACAAGGACAAGAGTCGTCCGGACCTTCGCTAGTTTGCATGCAGCCAAAGCTTGACCCGCCTACAGCACTGGTAGCAGATCAGCACACTCATAGCATCGCGGCTTCGGCTTAAACTGGTACGAAGCAGACATCATGTCCATCGGCCAGGCAACTTCAGGCGTTCGTCAAGGCTGTGCAAAGCTCGGCGGCTCATGGAGCCAAGTTGAGCCTTTGTGAAACACTTCACGTGACCGACTCAGTCCGTACAGTACCAGGCTACCCTCGTCTCTGTAACCAAGGCCTATTACGAAAGATTATGAAAGAATGCAGTTCCGCACTCAGCGCAAGACCATGGCCAACACGGGACGAGACAAGTTCTCCATTGGCAAAGAGCTGATCTGAGCAGCAGCATCCTTCGACAGCTCCTGTCGGCGATCACACTTCATGGGATCAGCTCTTTGTAGGATGCCTTCCCAGACCGCACAACTCCTTCAGGAGCTTCTTGGCAGCCTGCCACTGCAGCACGATGCTTCATCTGATTGGCCTTTGCAGACATCCGAAGAAGAGCCTCGTCATAGAGCGGATGCGGCAGCCCCAGAGCCACAGCAGTGCGATCGAATGCGCTCTTGTGCAGGGCCAGAAGGAGCAGCAGTGCCTTCAAGAGCGCAAGGGCGGGCAACAAAAGCTTCGAAGCCTGGAACAGACAGTGCAGTGGCTGCTGCCGCAGTGTGATGTCGGACTAGTAACGTCCACTTGAAAGGCCTTCGCGCTCTGACGCCTGTGTGCGTCTGTTCTTGAAGGTACCACCAGCCTAGCAGCCTCTGGGCAAAGTATGTGCGAGACTGCAAGCTCCAGCCTCGCGATCGGCCCTGCCGATGAACTCACTGCGAGCCTGGTCGAGTGCTTGTCATCGCGGACAAAACCCGAACAGGCATTGGCATTGCACTTTGGCCTCCAGCTCCGCCAATATCAAGCGGCAAGTCTTCACATCGAGGGCATTGGCCTTGCCGAGCTTCGGGCAAGCGGCGGCATTTGTGCTTCCCTCGATCCCTTTATGCGTGGGCACATCAAACGGGTGAAGTCTTTTTGTGATCGCGAAAGGCTCTCATTTGTTGCCGATGTTTGCTCTGTCTAGAAGGCCCGGCAGGATCCTGTTCTGTGTCAGACTGTTGGAGACTAGGAGTTCATCTACGGCTTCACGCGTAACACGATCCTGCGCGGTGTCATTTCCCACATGCTTCACACACACACAAGACCCTGCAAATGGGAGTTGCCCAGAAGCCTGCCACGAAACAATGCCCAACAAGATGGAACTCCTCACTAGCTCAGCACGCTGCAAAGCGGAGAACTCCCCAACAGCTTGACACCCTACAAATAGCAATTGTCCAATAGCTTGACACAAAACCGGATCCTGCCAGGCCCCAGGCAGAACAACAACATTCCTGCACGTCGTTCTTTCTGTCGTTCTTTCGTTCTTTCGTTCTTTTCTGTTGTTCCTTCCTTCTTTCCTTCTCTCTTGTTCCTTCCTGCTCCCAGCCCACCCAAAAAAAATGGAAAATAGGCCCTCCACGTCGAACCACCAAACGTCTAGAGTCCAGAGACTGCGTAGATGATCCTTGGAACATCTTGTCGCTGCATTGCACACCCAGGAGTGCTCAAACGCACCCAGTCCTTTATGGCTACGATCATGGGTGGTCGTGAAAATTATGGTCCCGTTTTGGGTACCCTAAACATTAGGTGCCGCATTACATTAAGGACCCAAAAAGGGACCATAATTTTCACAACCACCCACATGAGCATACAAGTACACTTAGCTGAGCACCGAGGGAAGGGGAACGGCTGAGCCTACCTGTGCTAATTGCTCTTGCTTTGCACCGGGCCTGGCCAAGCGCGAGCAATGCCTGTCCAGGGAGACCGAGGACGCGCAACGCGCACTCAAAAACTCCACTGAACATGTAGTCAGAGTGCCAGTGGTAGGGGAAGATTGCCGGTCTTGGCAACCGCACCTTGATGAGTGTGCGGCTCCCACATAGTGGCCACACATACCTCCGGCCATCCGTTGAGCAGGGGCCACCATACCACTGCAGATCACATTCTCGGCGTGCAAAGGCACGCGTAGACTGACCAAATTTGTGGCGCAAAGAGACAGACAGCCATCGAAGCACAATGTAGCCTAAAGAGTTCAAAAAGCGAACCACAGAGATGCGATAAAACACTGGGATACGCCACAACCGGAAACAACGTAATTGCACAGAGCGGGTCACCCACACAAACACACCCGCATACATGCCCGCCCGAGGCGTTGCACGTCCGCTGGGGTGTCTTCCACGAGGTTGAGAGCTCGCTTCGGATCAGCGGTGAGTAACGGTGATCAACACGGTTTCAATGCGCTCAGGCAACTAGGGATGAGCTGCTGTCCGTCACTTCAGCGTTGCTCAGCTCCCCTCAAAACTTCACAGCCGACACCTCAATGACCCGACGAAGTCTTCCACGACGGCAGGATCCACCTGATGACATCTTGGCCCAAAGGCATGTTCTCTGTGCGGTCTCTCCCACACTACCTGCCTCCCCGACATGGCTTCCAAGGACATCAAGGACCTCAAACAACTCCTTTGCACAAGAACGCGATCAAGACCCAAAGGCGGCGATACCCTGCAGCAAACTGCTCCTGTTCTTGTAACATCGGGCCCATATCAGCCAGCTCTGCAAGAAGGGCACACAGTAACCTCGGTGTGCGAGGCTATCAGATGCTTCACTCCATTCACGGCTTGGGACAGGGTCCAGACGTCCTTGTAAAATCCAGTTTCCCCTGCTTGCATGTCGTCCTAGAATCTCCTACAATGCTGCACCAGCCACGGTATCGGAGGGCCAAAAACAAACACTGCACAATCCCCTGGGACGCCGCACCCACTTGCACCTGGCAATCCTCCGACTGCATTCGCAGCTCCCTGGCATTGATCGGATCTGCATATATGGCAAAGCATGCGCACATCAACTGCCTTTAAATCTCTTCCAAATGGCTGAGAACTTCATGATACTTCAGCCAATCTGATCGAGATACGTCAAGCAGTGCCAGCACCACCAGCACAGACGGAAGATCTCTGCGAACAGCGACCTGAGACAGACTGCATGCTGCACGGGTTTCGGGTGTCACCTCATAGAAGCTTCAGCCACTGCAGTCGGAACTGCAAACTTCCCACGTTGCCTCTGGCAGCATCACCGCGGTGAATTCGCCACATCCGCAGAACAGGATACACCCCAACTGCACTCAGCATTTTTGCGGTCCTTTCCGAATCGAGGCCTCGTAATCTGTGCGATGAAAATGAGGCATCTGGCTTCTAGAAGCAAGTTTCTTGTACGGAGCTAGGAGCCTTTCGCTTTCGTCAACAGGACATGATCTCAGGATGCGCAGCCGATGCCATCGGAGTGGCTGCCACAAGGCCTTTTAAGCAGGACAGTTGCAGCCTCGCATCTCCTTGCCTTTGGGCCATGTGCTGCGTTTTCCCGCGTGCTGCCATGAAGGCACGTGAAGCCAAAGCCTGTGCATCCAGGCCGAAGCCACAGCGGCGCAACGGCAGCAGAGTCAGAGTGAAACAGGACTGCTCCCCAAAGCGGGAGCTAAACTTCCTCGGAGGAGTCGGCAGACAGAGGTCCCGGATCTGCCACGAGGCTTTTGCACAGGGGACAGGTCACATTCGCTTTGCACCATTTCGTAAGACCTCGGCTGCACCAGGCTCGGTTGGTTGTGCATGGTGTGTAAAGGCCTTCACTAGCCCAGGTGACCGCCGAAACCCACTTTTGTTGCATGTTGTCCTGCTGCTAACAAAACCTTCTGAGCAGCCCTTGCTTGAAGCACCCGGAAACCAACTCAAGCTTGCACAACTTCTGTGCCGCCCATTGCGTGTTTCAGCACCTTCTGTGCAATGCAGTGCGTTGGGCCATTTGTGCCGAATCACGGTGCTTCATCACGCGTGCTTTCCCAAGCGTTTCTTCTTCAAACCCCCGTTTCGGATCCTATAGGCAGTCGTAGCACGAGTAGGAACAGTATCGCGGCAAGCAAGACTAGCGGAACAGTAGCAACCATGTAACACTTACCCCAAGACTCATAGTCGTTATTTCATAACGATACAGATGAACCGATACGTTTCTGGCAATAGTCGCATGGAATGTAACGGACAGCTTTGGGTCCTCGTCCGGGGATAGCCAAATTCAACAAAATCGGATTCTGCACCATGGTGTGCACTAAAGCTGCCACGAGGCAAAGCTGCAAAGCTCTCAATGCTGCCGGGCCACAGGGCTCACAAAAATAATGCTTGCACGGTGTCCGCACCTGGGGGAGCTGAGAGTTTCTGAAGCCACAAAGTCAAGCTGCAGCAAAGGCTTTCATGCAACTGGCGTGCAACAAACAACAAAGCTTTTGGGCAATGAGTGCTGTCCAGGCGTCAACTGTCAGCGCGGAGAAGGACACCAAACAGATGCTGCACTCCATTATGCCTCTTCTTGAAGGCTCGGCTTTAACAAAAGTTATTGTTATTGTCTGTAAACGCTCTCGATTCTCTTTTGGCCAGGCCGCTGCCATCTTCCGGGTCCTGGAGCTCCGGGCTGTCACTTGGAATCTTCCTCGGACGCTGGCAACAAAAACGATACAAAGTGATGAAACTCCCACCGGCGCGACTTCGACTGCTCTGCAGCTCGGATTCGGAAGATCCTTGATCATTGCAGCGCCTGGGCCGATAGAACACCGACAGTCTAGCAGCCATCTAGGCGTCTACTCTGCAATGCTCTTTCGACCTGGCAAGTAGCGACTCACTTGACGCCGAGCTGCAGCCTCGAACACCCTCGCCAGAATTCAGGCTTCGGATGGCCAGCAAGAAGCGATGCGCAAAGAGGATCAGCGGAATACCCAACTTAGTTGCTCGAGAAGTATCGGCGCTCAGAGATCTTTAGTGAGTTTACCGATGTGACATGCAGTAGCATGCAGCGGCGAGATGTCAAGCTGTCACAGCTGTCGCTTTCACGATACTGAGTCCCGGGCCAGAAGGTATGCTAAGGAAGCTGCTATCCTAAGTTCAGACTTTAAGATTTCTCTTATCTTGATGTCGCGAGTGACCAGGGCCAAGGAACACCAAGATTACTTTTAGCTGCCAAGCCAAGTAACTGAAAATAAACGTAGGTCCGCGTGTCAAAGAATAAGTGCGGATTCGTCGTCCGGCATGTGGAAGACCCCTTCAGAACAGAGGTGGCTTGAATGCAAAGACCACATATAGCTGTGCCGCGCGATTTCGCTTCGGCCAGGCGTGGGAGCACACATGATTAAAGAAACCCCCAGCGCGAAAACAAGCCAACCTCAGCCCCAAAGGTGCAAGTACTTTCTGCCTTTGCAGACTCAAAATGTGCCCGGAAACAAAAAGGGCAAATCTGGCAACATTGACCATACCCTCCACTTACCACAGACGAGGATTGCACAGGCACAAAATGCCGGACAGAATTGCTGGCACCCGACTCAAACCAAGGCCGTGTAAAGGAATCCTGTCTGATGCACGACTTGGATGGGGACGCCCGTTCGAGTTCCCTGCTGCCTGGATAAGGGTGTAGCCCCACATCATCGTGATCCATCCGGGAATCAACGAGGTCAACGTCGTAGACACCCATACCTGCAGTTCGCTCGAAGCAAGCGCAGCCTTTAAGTATGGAGGTGTAGGAGTACAGGCAACGAAAGCCGTCAAGGTACAGATCGCGTGGACATGCCGCGAACCTGCATGTAGCCTCAGGTCAGACTTCTCGATTCCCCTGCACATCAAATTAATGTTGGGCTCTTTCGGTGCAGCACAAGCGGCGGCTAGCTTTTGCGGAGAGCTGCTCCGATATTCTACCTATGAGAATGCTGAAGATCATGTAGTATCTCCTGAGCTCTCATCTGTTCTGTCTGCACGCAGTCTTCTTGTTGAAATCTTCTGGCAAGACCCACTAGAAAAAGGGTTCGCACGAATGCCCTAGATCCTGCATGACCGCATGGGCATGCAGCATTGAAATAAAGGGGCTGCGGGGAAGGATAGCGCGATACGGAGTATGTAGGACGTTGTGGGTCATGCAGGATTCTGGGCATCAACAGTATCACCATTGCGGCTGGACGTCAGCATTGGCTGGTCGCATGGAAGAGATCCATAGGCGAGTGCTGCGAAGAAGGCACGCCAAAACACGATCACCAGAGCAAAAGAAGCAACCTCAGGTCGGCTGCAGCCAGGCCCGGGACCGCGGGACCGGGGAGGGGCCTGACAGTCCTCTATTGCAGTCACGGCGCAGCGATTCCAAACAGGCCGACAAAGCAGAGGCAAATCTCAGCACGATTCAACGACTTGCAAGAAACACGTTGCCTTTGGATGTCGCAGCGAGCATTACTGAACTCTGCTTGAGATTCACGAAGCTGCTGAGATTGGGACATCATACACGGACTGAGTCTACAGTAATGACTAGTGCAAGGCTTCGTTCAACTGTCTCAGGGCAGTCCAAGGTGCGATTTTTGGCGTGAATCTTTGCATGAGCTGCTCGACTGCCTGCTGAGCTTCATCATGCCGACTCAGAGAGCGAAGGCTCGGCTCAATATGACTCCCTACAGGAACTCTACGACGACTCCTGTGACCATTTGCAGGAAGTTTGATATAGGACCTAAAACGGCTAAGCAAGAGCAGGCAAACCCTAATCCCGCATAAGGCGCACAAGAAAGAACCTGGGTCGCCCCCGCTTCCCCATACCGTACCCATACCCGGGACAACTCCGCACAGCTTTCACGAAGGTTGATTTCGGCTTGCTCTCCCTTGCCGACCCTGTGAATCATGTGCCGAGGCAGCCAATCACAGCACCATTTCCGCACATCGGCCTCGTCGCGAAGGCGTCGTTGCACAGACTGGCTATCTACCTGGCAGTCGCTGATGCGGCTCGTGCTGCTGCGCCCTGTACTGAAAGCTATATACCAGCAGCTTCGACGATGGGCACAACAACACAGGTGCCCAGCTGCCAGTGACAACTTCTGCACCTCAACGAAGTCGTCTCAAATAAACGTTCCCGCCTGTCTCCTCGAACTGACACGCGAGAGCAAGGTCTCTTCTGCTCCTGACAATCGTTCGCTTCGCGGAGGAAGAATTTGCGTGGGTTCACCTCTGCAACCAATCTCTGCAAACCCAACCGCCTGAATTCTCACGAGGTCTTGACAAGCTTGGAGGGCCAGCAGAAACACCACCGCCCAGAAGCGCAGACGCACTGCGCGTGAAGCTTGACGCCGACATGTCAGAAACCTGAGCCATGGCCGCTGCTGTTGGCCAGCACTGGCGAGAACCCTCAGCCCACACCGCCCTCCCTGCCTGGACCACTCAGCAGGGCGAATCCGTGAGATACTTCTCTGTCCATCTCTTTTTTTTTTACCTCGTGTCTTTTGGGGATCCGCCAGACTTCCACGTTTGGATGAGGTGTATGTACACCTGACGTTGTTGCTGAGGGGGATTCACCACCTACCATGTCCATCTCTACATTGCAAGGGAAAACTCTCGAGCCAGCTTCCAACTCAAGAAAGACATCGCGGCGCATTGCGCACGTGAGACGATGCATGTTCGCACACAGTGTTGTGCTACATGCGCTACTAGCATGCAGGCGCATATGATCGCACATGTGTACACGGGCGCTTTGCACATGTGCACGACACGATGCAACGTCTAGGCGAGCTTGGCGCAGCACCGCGTGAGGTGTCAGAGCCTGACACGCGACGGAACAAGACCGACTGTCCGTCGCAGAGAGCATGTCGCCTCCAGGAGAGCTTCCGCTGCGTTCGAATCGGTGGCTGGAAGAAGAGCCAAAGCCAGGCACACCCCATCTGCCAGCGCCTCCGATCAATCTCACACAGCCAAGAGGGCCTGGCACCTTACTTCTGGCTTTTATACTTCTCGTCGTCTCGGCTGCCACTGCAGCCCAGACCGGCAAACGGAGGGATGGGGCCTGCGGAGCCAGCATCCGACGCAGCTGCAGAGTGCGCCGCAACACCGCTGCTAGACCGCTCTCCTGCAGCTGGGGGTTTCCGTGCATGAACGTTCTAGGAATGCCGGCTCTCGCTTGGATCGCTGTGCTCAACAGAGTTGCAACATGCCACGTCTTCGGTGTGTCCTGGGCAGCCCACCGCCGGAACTGAAGGGAGATTCCTCGTCCACACTCCTTTCTTTTTCACCAAGAGACGGGAGCGCCATAGCGAAGGGATGTTTCTCAGGCCGTGGCCTCCTTGGCCTCACGTTCGGCCGCTTCGTAGCAGTCGCGCGTACGTCGCAGGACCTTCCGGGAGCGAAATGGAGACCAAGCGCTTCCGGGTATTGTCGGGGCCTGGCCTGGGCCACCTCCACCGGACCGGCGTCGGGCCGGAGATCACATAGCAAGGCCACCTTTCTCAAATCTTGCGAACTGTGCAAAGGGAGAAGAGTTACGGGCACCTTGGACTTCAGACGTAGCTCTGCTGGATCTAGCGACTCTCGTCCATCCTGCAAGGTGCCAAAAACCCTGATGCGGTTTTGCCGTTGCTCCTGCTGACATACCAAACACGATCTCCAGGCGAGGTGCCTTCGGTGGTCTTTCAGGTAGTGTGGCTAGAGCTTCCGCAATTTCGTCTTGCACCTCAGCCTTCTCCTGGCCACAGGCTGACACTCGTGGCTCAACGTGAAGCCTTCGGCCTGTGGCATCTGGTGCAGTGATCGGGTCTAGCTTACCCCTGCATAGCAGGGCTTCCCGAACTGAGTGCAAGCCATACCAACTGGCGTCTCATAGCTCCGTAGCAGCTCAAAGTCCCCCCCTCGCCGTGATTCGAGTTGTTGAACCCGCTGTTTACAACACTTACAGCAACGACTTGACGAAGCGGCGCAAATCAAACGACGTGCACCAAGCTAGACGGCCCGTTGCTCCATGTCTTAAGCGAAGCCACATCGAGCACAACGATGCGCTTTGTTGGCATTTTCGTGCTCCTCTGTCGCACCCACGAGCCACAGACTTGCATTCTACGGACGGAACTTTGGCTATGTGAGGCAGCACAACCCTAGCGGCCGTAGCCATCAACATGGTCCAGCAAAGGATCGTTCTCCGGTCAGAGTCACGGTCAGTTGAACATGTATTGACTGCACAGCTGCGCAGTGCAAACGTGTGTCCGATGTGGCCTGCCGCGTGTAAGGCCGGGCGAGGTCGAACCGCAGCGCCTGGCTGCGGCCGTGGCTGAAGCAGGCGTCCATACAGCCAAACAGCCCATGTCTGCCTCCCGGCGCCGCCGCCGCGGACGCTTCTTGGCCTGAGATGGAGCTGCATCCGGCTTCAAGTGACATCCGTATGAGTCATACCGTATGAGGGTACTTGCAGAAAAGGGTCTTCAGTTTCCAATGGCAGCCTTCACAACAGCGCCAGGCAGCGCAATGCTCAGATGCCTGAGCCCTGCAGCCCCTGAGCCCCTGCTTCAACACCGTATTGAAGCGAACCTCCGCCCGTGCGTGCTGGTGGAGCTGGAGCTGTACTGCCGCCATGCCAAGGCCTGAACAGTTGAGCGCGTCCCACAAAGACTCGATCAGACTGTGCCCAGTCAAAACGCTACCACAAATCCAGCTGGAAATCGAAAATGGAGTGTGCTCTGCTGGAACAGCCGGAGGGGCTTTCGGAAAATGTGGGGGAGGCAAAGGTCGGTGAGCGCAGCGAAATTGCTGAAACCACGATCTTGGCACTTGAGAGACCCTGAAACGGCCCCAAACAGACCAGGGTGCTCGGTTGGGAGCCCGCTCCCCTGAGGGTGCAGGTCCGAAGTGAGGTAGCTCAACTCCATCGTTTTCACACTGCTCCCACACCAGCCAGAAGAGTTTTCTAGAGCGCGGCCTTTCCAGTTTGTTCATCTATTTTTGGTTGAAAGACGTTGAGAGCCACATCAGAGCAGCCGCGACTTCTGGATCGTGTAACGACCGTTTCCGACATTACAGCGCGCTGCAGATGCCAAGCCCGCTGCCGTTCTGACAGCCGCAATGGTCCTCACGACAGAAAACGCCGTGCTGGGCAAGCTAAGTGCCGATTCGGCCAGGAAGCTCGATCGGTCCTTGTAACTTGAGATCTACCTGCCATTCCACCATGGCTGCTCGATCGCTCAGGTGGCCCCTGGCCAACCCAAATAAGGAGCGAAAGACCACCCAAGCGACAACTGGTCGAAAGGACTTTCACCCCTTTGAAATGCCAGCTCTTCTATCATTCGGAGGACACCAAACTGAAAAGGCAGGGAGCTCTCGCAGCAGCGCGACGATTTGCACGAGAGCCAGGCTTCAGTCTGTCAATCCCAATATCACAGCACGTTGAAGACGGATAGGAACCTCTGTCATTCTTTTGAACGATGGCAATGCTAGCGCTTCACATGTTTTGCCACGCAGCACATCAGCTTAAACAAGCGCTCTCAAACAGACTAGGAGATTTCTCCCGGCCCACAAGACACTCGATGCTTACTTGTGAAGCACTGTCTTAATCTTCAAGCATTCGCTGTACAGCAATGCGTCACTCATTAACTACTTGATCGGCCTATAAGTTGCGGTGCCCAGCGGCATGTCCTTGCAGGCACGGCGCGCTGCTTCTGACAAAGAAAAGGCACGTCAGTTCCTGGATCTGCAAGACACGGCCGAAGACTTTGCAGACAAAGGCTGAAGCTTTGTCCAATCAAATGCGGCTTGCTCTGGGACTAGGCCAATGTGGACGCGAGTAACATGCCCACATCGAGATCTCCCACCGGCAGCAACAAGCAGATTGGAAACGGGAGTGACCTAAATCTGTTCAGCCCTTCTGTGCCTTCTGAGTCACATTCTATACACTTAAACACGTGATGGGAACCAAACCTCAAACTCGAGGAGGAGGAATGGCAGGTGACTGGTAGCCCACAGCAAGAATGCTCAAGAATGACGGGCAGAAACCCTCCATGCAGAATGCCGAAGCTGCTTGCTGCCTACTATGCTTCTCAGAGCAGGCACAGCAGGGACGTTTTGCTTCCGCAGATCAAGCTATGCAGCAGGTGCTTCTTGGACTACTTACTAAATTACTACTTTCCTGGGTGTCAGGTTGTCATTATCGCTGTTTGCACAGACTCGAGACACCACAGAGTGTGCTTCAGGTGAACAGGTTTCCACAAGTCCGCGTGGAGAACAGTGGACACCCGAAAGTTGCTCAAGCAATTGGGAGATCTTGAACTGATGACTGGAGCTCCGTGCATGAGATCAGCCACCAATTTTTCGGGCTGGGAGTGGCTTTCGCCGTAGTGCGCTGCAGGAGAGTTCAAGTGATTTCAATTGACCATGCGTATGCACCTCATCTCCCGTCCTGGGCACAAACCCAGATTGCTTCATCTGAAGTAGCAAGATCCTGCAGAGTGCGAGGAATAGATTCAACTACAAAGCAGAGCAAAGCCCAGCAGTGACCCTGCCTGACTCTCCGACCGTGTGCGTCGCAGCAAGTAGCCACAGCAGCAGCCCGAGAGAATGGCTGTCCTAGTGCGATCTCAGTCGCGCACACAACACTTCTGCGACACGGATTATATGTGGAGTGCGTTCTGCCACAAGTGCAAGCAAGACACACCGCACAGCTGCCGAGTCTGCTGAGCTGAACTGCTGGGCTCTCGGGGGCTTTTGCGCTGTTCTGCAGCACTGGCGATGCATAAAGGATCCTCAGCCGAACGGCAGACGGCAGTCGTGGCCACGAACTCGAGAACTAGCTAGTGGCAGTGGCAGACCCCCAGCAGCTCCAGCAGTGCAGCAGAGACGCCAACCCAGTAGAGCCGGCATCCCGTGGGCGAATAGAACACCACACGTGTCCACGCTGCTGCGTGACAAGAACCGGAGTCCCAGTACCGAAATGGCGCCGGCCACAGACCCGACCTTGTCTTTTTGAATTAGCAGGTTCGGCAAAGCAGAGAGCGTGAAAGAGCTATCACTGAAACACCAAGCTGTTGAGACCGAGCAACCATCACCGCAAATCCCGGATCCACCGTGTCCGACACTGCAGAAATTGCGATGCCTGCGTGGAACGTCGCTCGAGTCAATTGCAACTTGAACCGCGTTGAGCAACCGGAATGGGTCGTCGTCCGAACACAACCATCCTTCAATCCGTCAGATTCCGTCAGTGTGCTAATCCACTTTAGAACCCCACATGCAAATTTCGACAGATATTGCATCCCCAATCGATGCACGATGCGCCTCCGGCAAGGACGGCCGTGCGGATGCATGCGACGCTCAGCTTTCCAGAATCGCTCAGCGAGTCCGTAACGAAGGCGGCAACTGTGGAGCCCAACCTTACCATGAAGATCAGGATTGAACTTTGAACGAATCTTTGGCCTGGTGTCCGAGCAGCAGTGCCAGGACGACGATGATGTGCGCATGCTGCGTCCGGGAGCCGTAGCCGATGTTTGGAAAGCAGATCCAGAAGCAGAGGGTCCCCAACAGAGAGACCAGGTCCTGCCACATGCGACAGTTGACGGTGGTCTAGAGAGAGAGCCCCCTTGCAGTCAACGGGCTACATGTTCCCTGCGGTGTCCAGACCATAGCTGCCCTCATGCAGCCAGTCCATCTCGAAGGGGCCCAGTAGGCACGCTGCCGAGTAGCCGAACAAAGCTCCGAAGAGATGAATCTCAAGGCCGTCAAGGCCATCAGGATGCACCTGCAGAGAAGCTCCAGCTTGTGAGCGGCTAGATCCGAGCTCATATCTTTCACTGAGCAGCGTGTGGCACGCGGTCCCTGGAGAGCCCACCACTTCTGGTCCAGCAGTAGCATGGCAACCTGAACTTCAAAGGAAAACTTCAAAGAAGAGGCATTCTCCCTGCCACACCCGAATCGGAGTGTAGAGCTAGGCGAAATATCCACGCTGCCAAGTTCAAGCGGGTCGCTCTATCAGCAGAACCAAAAAGACTTGCCGGAGGCTGACCTGGAAATCGAAACAGACAGTCTCTCACGGTGAAAACGTACGACTGCATGTGTCGCGACATGTGCCAAGCTTTGCGGTGACTCCGTCAACCTTGCGAACTCTGCATTTGGGCTCCAGAGTCGCTCCTACTGCCGACTGCAAAGGGGGAGTAAGTTTGTTTCGCCAAGAGACAAACTAACGCGTCATGGCAGAGGTAGACCAGGAGGGTCGGGAGGGTGTGGAGGGGGGGAGGGAAACAAGGTCACATCGTCCCGAGTGACTCCGGACGGTTTGCATGCGTGCGTTTCGTTGCTCAGAGTCAAAAGCGCGCAAAACTGCGGTGTCAGCACATACTTGCTCAGGGTACGTGCCAGAAGGAGGAGTGCGATCCTCGAGAGGGGTCACTTGTGATGGGGCGTGTTGTGCGTTTTACAGTGGTTTTGAGCACATTGTGAAGCGTTCAAGACAAACTTTATGTGGACGACGATGTCACACTTATTCTGGACGGGCAGTGGATGAAGAGCCCTATAGTCTAAAACCGCTTCGAAGCAAAATTCATCAGCATAGGTATTGCCCAAAGGGGCCCTTCAGCCCTATCAGATCCCTGAATATTAGGAAAACCTGTAGGATAGACACGAAATACTTGGAAAATATTTCACGACGCAAGTGAAAGCATCAGACGTGTTAACAAACCTGAGACCCTAAAGGCCTTGGGCCCTGTGGCCTAGCAGTGTACATGTTCGGCCGTACATGGCCAGGAATGAAGCCCCTCCGACATTCAACTATGCACGCTGCGAGTGGGCAGCTGGGCGCAAGCAACTTAGATGCCTCCATTCTAGTGGAAAAGTCAACACGGACGTTATTTGACCCCCCACCCCCCACCCTCCACTTCTGAAGCAACCTTCGAAGCAACCAGTCAAACCTACAAATCAAGTCCCGACACTGCTCTTCCTGCAATTAAGCTAAAACCCGGTTATTACTCTTCGGGCATGGTTGCTCTGCGTAATCGGATGGGGTCGGAGTGGATGAAATTTCGGTTCGGGCAAACAAGCAACCTGAAGTCCCGACGCAGCGTTTCCCTGAATTAAGCTAAAACCAGAGGTGTAAGCATGTGCGAAGGCGCAAACTCTGAGGAGTCACTGGTGAATCTGCGACCAAAAACAAGCTAACTCCGTAACTCCAGCTCGACGAGTTTGTTTTGGCGGGCGAAAACAAACTGGCCGGGCGAGTTTGTTTCGTCAGTGCAAACCAAACTCCCGCCAGGTGAGTTTGTTTCGGCGGCGAAAACAAACGCTGGCTGGGAAAGTTTGCCCCGACTGCTCGACGAGTTTGTTTCGATGGCCAAAAACAACTGTGCCGGGCGAATTGGTCTCGCAGGCAGAGAACGAAAACAAAAACTGTGTAAAACAAACCTGTCTTGAGGGATTTAGTTCCTCCTACCGGAAACACACCCACAGGTACCGAGCTAGTTTCTCGCGCGGAAACAAAACCACTCCTGTGGAGTTAGTTTTTCGCACCGGAACCAGCTTTTCTGGGTAGAGTCAGTTTCTCCTTTCAGAAACAAACCCCTGTGGAGTTAGCTTCTCGCTCCGAAACCTTCCTGGGCAGAGTTAGTTTCTCCTTCCGGAAACAAACCCACCCCTGTGGAGTTGGTGTCTCCCTCCGAAACTAAGTATTCTCGAAGGAGTTAGTAGTTAGTTTCTCGGTCGGAAACCAACTCTGCTACGGAAGGCTAGTTTCTCCTGAAACTAACAAACTCGGGTCCGTCGTATATACAACGGGAGACTCAAGTAGACTCGAACACGCATGCAGTCTGAGCAAGACCCGGTCTTGATAGCAGCAGGCCTTGCCAATCAAGGCTCCAAAGGAGACGAGTGCAGTCGCAGCAGCAAAATACCCCGACCTTATATGCGCCCCACACTGAGTGACAGCCTGCAGCTGCTGGAGGACATGTTTCTGCACCGGCCGAGACACGAAAGCGAGTCTAAGCCAATGCTGAGCACCGTCTGGTTGAGGAGACTTTCCAGCACCATCGACCACTGTATGGCTAAGGACGTGATGACCAGGCAGAAAGCCACGGCTCCTAAGCCATGCCTGGGCTGCAAGAACCCCTAAACCTGCCGTCTGTGCGGAAAGCGGAAAGCAAGCTCGTGAAAGGCAAGCACGCTTTGGCAAAGGCCCTCATGAAGCCAAGACCGACCACGGTCAGCAAGGACAGTCCAGCCTCGCTTTTTCGCAGTTCGGCTCCAGCTGCTCGCTTGCTGTCTCTCCTCTCCGCAGCCCTCAACCCTCAAATCTGAGGTCAGAGCAACGTGGTCAAATTTCTCCACCACATCCACGGAAGTCGTGTCGAGTTCGGCAAACATGAGAAATATCAGGAAAACAATCCTTAAATTTGCTGTTTGTAGCCGAGCTTGATGCAAAACAAAACCCGCAAAACTCGCACAGTGGAGCATGCTTCGCTTCACGATGCCGGGTCGCTGCGACAGGACCTGGGGACAAACCATGGTACAGCAATGCCCGCTCATCTGTGTGTGGATCTGCAGTGCCGGCAAAGCTGCCATCAGCCAGCCAACGTTCGTCTTGGCGAGTGCGCTGAAGGGTGTCTTCTCAACATCAGAACGATGCCTCTGCAGTACCCTTTCGGAATATCCTGCCCAATCAAGCTGCGTTCAAGAATCGAGGCTTCGTCTGAGGGCACGAACAAGGGGAAAACTCAGCAGCCAGGAAGGCTTCAAGCTCCACGTGCCTTGCTGGGGCAATCCGGGAGTAGCACGCTGCCATGGCCAATGACGAGGATAGAGCCTGGAGGCTCAAAGCCCCGCTTCCAAGACTTCACAAACAAAAACAAAGAGACTCGAGAGATGTCGCCTGGTTTCCTGTAAGTTGTTCAGCAACGCTCCGTAGATCACGAGGAGGCACGTGCCTGACTTGAGCTGTGAGCTCTAACAGGCTCAAGTATGGCCCGTCACTGTCTCAAGCTTTCGTACAAACTTGAGACCCGTTAGGCACGGCACTGAGCACACCAGGCTGTAGGACGAAGCTCCAGCCCCGTCTGCGAGCTTCTGGCATCACCTTGCTTAACTCCAAATGCCTCTTCCACTGACATGCCCAGGCCTAGCTCCACATCTTGAAAATCATGCGGGGCAGTAGTTCAGCAAACACAAGATCATGTCTGTTACTGCCTGTTTCAGTACTTTGCATGAGCCTACATCCTTGTTAGTTGCGTCGCAAACAAGATTTCAGGCATAGATCGCCCAGTGCCCAGCGTGTAGCTGCTGTGGCCGCGAGTCTTTCGTGGGTGCCAGTCAACAGTTGACTGTAGCCCGGTGGACACACTGCTGGCACAGGATGGGCTCTTGAAAGGCGCATGGGGCGCACAAAACCTGGTGTCATGTGGCCTATCATCACTCGCAAACTTACTTTACCACCACTTTAGAGAAGGATGAGGATTCTCCAGGACTGCCCTCAGCCCGGTACAATGATGCTCAGAGCGATAGAGCCGCCTGCACATAAGGGACTGCAGCACAACTCGAACAGCACGTGGCAGCAGAAAAGCCTGCAGGGATCTTGGCAAAAGTGAGCTCTTGAAGTGCTGCAGAGAAGGCTACAGCCATGGCAGCTGGCATCCACCTCGTGGGCGGTGCGCAGTGCAAAGCTGCACGGAACGACGTGGCAACGCAGTTCCCGATGCCAAGATGCAAGTGCCCAGCGAAAGCTGAGCCGCCCTGGCAGACACACGAGAGCCCTTCGCACGGAAGCCCTTCAGGGCCGAGGCATGGGCCGCTGGGGATGCTGGGGTTTCCGGTGTCGCCTCGCTCGCTTCCAGGAGGAAGAGCGATCCGGAGGCAGCGCCCAGCACGCAGCCGACGACGCAGGGCCAGGGCTGCGAGCTGGCGCCTGAAAGTCAGCAAAGTCAGCAGAACACAAAGAAAAAGGACGCGGGTCCCACCGAAGGGGAAGGGGATTGGGACATCTGTCCGACCTCGCCAGTCGCTGAAGACCGACACAGAGGCCGCCGCGGGTCCGATTAGCCTTGGGAACAAAATCCACTTCTCTGCTAGGAATTACAACAGAAGGACCTCGCACCGACTTGACATGAAATCAGGTTGAAAGGTCCTCGCAGCTTTGGATCGCAAGCTACTCTTGCACAACTGTACACAGATTTTGGATTTTTAACTTTTTGGTTGAGATCATCAATGCTGCATCTTGCGGGCTGTAACAGCAATCTGAAGCACTTCATGAGACGTTTCGGCCAAGAAGCGATGCCGGAGTCCAGCCCAATAGATCATTGAGTGCGGCCACAGACCTAGGCACCGGATCGCGGTACAGGCTCCCGTGGGAGTGAACATGAAGGCTCCACACCCCTAAACTTGACAAAGGCAAACAGCGCTGACATTGACACATCCCAGCTTCGTGCTTGTCTTCTGGCTCTTCCCTCCTCCTTGTTTGCCACGGCGACACCACCCCCCCAGCCCTTCCTCGAGAAAGACCGTCGTGGCGCTCACAGGTGGATCGTCCGCAGTTCTGCTACGTCGGCAAGCGCGGCTTGTCCCCACGTCTGATTGTCTCGTCCGAGCATCAAATCGGACACCGTGCACCAAATTGCGACGCATTGCCGATGCCGCTAGTTTTGGAGCACGCGCAAAGAGAACAACAAAGCCTACGCCCTGCGCCATGCCCTGCTATGTCTCCACAGTCTCCTCATCTGGCGGCAATGTACGAGTGTGGTCTCTTTCGGTCATTTTTGAAAGCCTACCCATTCACAGCCGTCTTCTTGCATGCAGGCCACACCATGTAAACAAAGGCCGCCAAGGAGCCTCACCACCCGAAAATCTCCGGGTGCACTGGAGCAGCACAGTCTACAGCGCTGGGAGCTGGGCTGAAGCAAGTGTGAGCGTACGAAACTGGCACCGGGCCGCGACTACCTGCCCCTCGAAGCTTCAGCAGGTAGGTTGGCAGCCTGAGCACTTTCTACAACGGTGTAGACAAGTCGATGCACCCCACCGTCGGCAGAAAGGGCATCTGACTGCCGTGCGCCGAGAAAGCGTAAAAACCGAATAAGTAGCGTTCATGAGAGAAACACGCTGGCTCGAACATGCACCGACAGAGCGGCAGAGAAAGGCTTCTGGCCTTATGCCTGCTACATGCTGCAACAACCTTTCGGCACAAAAATCTTCCATCCCTGGGTGAGCACACTTTGCATGAAGGTGGCAGTGCCTCTACATCTACATCCGAGAAAGTAAGTAAGTGCTCATCTGGGCGGCCCCAGTCGGGGACAGATCGCATTGGATCGTGGAACAACGGCTGTGGACAAATAAGCCCTCGGCTAGGGAATGCATCTACACATCTGCAAAGCAAGCCTGAGTGAATGTAGCCTTGCAGACGCCGAAACATACCACTCAACCGTAGACACAACAGCATACTAGGAACACGGATAATCGCCTTTCTGCGGCCATAGCTGCACAGGTGTCATTCGAAGATGGAAACATACAGAGTTATCATCATCATCACCACCATTACCATCGTCATCATTATCGTCGATATAATTACCACATATTATCATCACTGTCAGAAAGCCACCGAATGAATCATCGCATTCCCGCATTCCTGGCAGTTGCCCCACTGCCACCTGAAAAATGAAGCTTCATCAAACCGTTAGCTCATCCCGAAAGACCAGGTAGCATATATTGGGGGAAAGAGCGCATCCATACTGGCACCCTCACGTTATGGCAGCTTCCTTGAAAGTCTAAGTCTGGAACCATTGCTGGGGAGCATCCGCGATGAAGCCCACTGGAGGCTTTGGGGCGGATCCTGAAGGGATCGACGCAAGCCGTGAGGCTTTGCAATGAGAATCTATGTCAGCCTATCTCCGACTCCACGGCCGGCGATGGCCACCAGGCCTGAGCAGACTTGCGGCGTATGCACAAGCCAAAGCATGCTCTGCTTGCCTGCGGATACAGTCGGTCCATACACGTGTTGTTGAAGAGAGCTGCAACCTCAGCAAAAACGACAGCGGCCTCAGAGTCTCATGGCAGAAACAATCAGCTCTCATGGTGGCAGATTCGGCCCACTTTTGCACACGAGGCACCTGAATCCGAAGCTTCGACTGGCCATGCCAGCTCAATGCTGATCGTAACAGGAGCTCTGAAACCGGGTGCCTGATGCTTTACAGAAGCCGGTGAGCGTTCGCAGCCGTGAAAACAATTTCTCGACACGGCTGGCCCAGCTGAAATAGGACTCCTGACACTATCATCTCTCCACATCAGAATATTGATTTCGCCTGTGGGCTCTTATAGCAGATTTCTCCTGCTTTTTGTCACAAGGCAGCATTGTGCGCCTTCTAACGAATTTCTAAATACGACTGCGGATCTTGCAAGATGGACAAACACAACCATGGATAGTCCCGCAACAACTTTACAGAAAGGACTGCTGCGGTGTGTGCAACTCAGAAGTTCTGGAAACAGAGAGGGAAACCAGAAAGGGCCCCCGAGTCCCTGCTTCGAAGCCTTTGTTTTAGAACAGGGGCTAATTTTGAAACACGCGTCTAGTTTCGAGACATTCTCGTCCTAGCACTGGATAAGACCCCTCCCTTTCAACAAATCCTGAAATAGTTGTCATGATGTAGAGTGCTCGACGTAACTATAACTATAACATATGATTATGTTCACAGGCCACACAGCCCCCTACAACTTTAAGAGCACCCTGTCGTAATTCATTGTAACTCTTGAACTCCACATGCGATGTCCAAGCAAAATTCGCAAATATTCGTCGGTTCCTGGCAGAACCGCTCTCAGTGATAACGATGACGATCACCGATCGCCGTCAGCAATGTATCCAGATGTAGTGGCCGCAGGAATAACTGCTACCCCAGAACTGCATTGCTCCGGCGAAGTACGGTGACAGCCGCCTCGAACTCGGCATCCTGAAAAAGCAGATCAGCAAGGGGCACAGATGCAGAGAGCATGAGCGTAATAAAGGCCAGAATGACTAGAAACCTGCATGGAACATCTGAAAAACCTGAAAAGGGGATAATGTGAAAGCACGCTCTGTTCTGCAGGTATTGATAATGTCTGGGTTGCTTGACACCACCAAGCTGCACTGCAGCCATTGCCAGAAAACTAGAGAAGCCCACAGTCTGAAGTCTTCTGAATAGGGTGCTCCGCCGACATCCTTGTCATTACCACCCACCGATGTTATGATTTCATCGCTCCTTCGTGCTCTTGTGCGCCCATATCTATCCACTGGACCCTCCGCACAAAGAGTTTATCTGCAGCATGTGAAAATGAAAGCCGCAACGTCTTCCCACAGGCGTACATACTCGCTCATAGCCGCGGTCCCCGTCTTAGTATCAGGCGGTATTCAGCACACTCCAGCGCCTCAGCTTTACCGCTGCACGATCAGCATCTTTGCGAGGGTGGGTTGTGCCTGCATCTCGCACTTACATTCACATGGCTCCCGGGAGCGCCAGGCCAAGATACGAAAATGTACCTGGCTGCACACCCTTTCTCAATGCACGCTGCATGTTTCAAATACAAGGCTCGCACGTTTGAGCCTGCAACCCACACACGGATTGATATCTGCTTGGCCTTGCTTTGCTATGCTTTGCTCCGGGGCGTGAAGAAGGGGCAGTCCCCCTTCCCCGCTCTGTCGAGCAGCCCCATCCAACATTTTGTTTGGATGGGCTCGGCTTTACATAAGAGAGGGTGCTCTGAAACTGTGTTCCCCGTGTGGCCTTGCTCTCTCTCTCTCTCTCTCTCTCTCTCTCTGGAGGTGTCAATTTTGACAAGACTGCTCAAAGACCGCAACAATGCTACCAGTTTCGCTTCGATGTATGATTCCCAGGACTTGCACGAGTTTAGAAGTCCACTCTGCAGGTAGCTTTTTCCTACAAATCGATGCTTCATGGTGAGCGTCGCGATGCACTGTGTTTTAATGTGGCAGACAGGTCGAACCGATTCCTTTCAGTTTTTCTGCAGCCTCTTGGGCCCCCCAAGCAAAACCGGCTCCTTGCACTGGGCTGGCACGAAGTCGAGGAGTCGCATGAAAGTCATCTGCTCAAACGACTGGCCAAGCAACTCCACGTTCCTGGGAGGATCTGCGAAGTGTTGAAGCTCAACTGGCACACAGCAGACTTGTTTTTCTCGCCCAGGCTCGGCTGTGCACCCGCTGTCTTGGGCAAGACAGGAAGACTGGCAAGGCGCCCCTCTCAGGTCAAGAAACAGTGTCGTTTCCTAGGCGCAGCTCGTGGGGATCCAGCCTCCAGAAGTCGCACGACTTCCGTTGCAGCGGGAGGTAGCTTCCTCGACTTTATTACTTGCGCAACATAGGACGGGTGTGGCTCAGCATCTAAAAGTGCCCTGTCATGAACATCTGAGGGGTGCTCATCAGTGTGGCTCGACGACGCAAATGCTGTATGAGGTAGCTGAGCAGATCAGCCTCAACGGAAGATGTCTTACGGCTTCATGCAAAATCATGGTCTGTCCAATTTGGGTATTCAGTTTGAGGCTGAGGAATCGGTGCATGGATGGGCAGCCGTGAACCGCCAAGTGTGGAATTCTTCTTGCTGTTCGTGGACAAGACTCAGACCTTCTTTGGAGCTCAGGCATACAAAACCGTGACACACTGGCAAGCATCGTACAAGCACGACACGACAGGCATATCAACTTTCTGTTGTCGAATACCACCGGCTCTTTTGGTCAGGAATAAGGAAACCTGCCGGTTGAGGATGTGGAAGATTCAAGAAGCAGACTTGCTCGGACAAGCGCAGAGAAACACAGACATTAGATCTTCAATTGAATCGACGCAGCCTAGCCCCTCCTCCCAGCAAGCTCTAACATGTGACGCAAGAAATATCAACGATGTCTGTTCTTCTTAACACATGACGATCTGTACTGTGTGACGCATCGCCGGCCGTGCCTTGTGGGTCGTGTGATGCTTTGGGGGATGACCACCGACACCGAGACAATGAGGCCGATTGAAACCAGGGAAAAGACACAAAACACACACCGAGACAGTAGAGACAGCAGAGACAGCGAAGAGGAACTCGCACTCTTCCAGGCCCTGCCTGCGCAAGGCTGCACAGCAGCTGCCGCTGAGTGCGGTTCAACTTCGAGTGCTCCGCGGGATCCCGGTGAGCAGAGCTGCCTGCTGGCGTATTCTGGCCTGAGGCGCCCGGAAGGCACTAGGCACCCTCAAGTCTTTTTAATTTTAACATAATATGAAGTCCGCTGGAACATCTGGAACCTTGAAACTTCTGTCGTAGGATGTTTCGGCTGAGCCCTTGCAGCAATCACGAGGAAGCAGAGACATGCCACGGCGGCCTGCTGTGCGCTGAGATGGCTGTCCCCCCTTCATCTTTTCAGCCCGTTTCGGAGGCGAATCGGCGGTCTCTGGTAGCTTCGACCCGGGATCGGAAATGAAGGCTTCCAGGAGGCTCACGTAGTACTTGGCTGCTTCACGACTTCGAACCGGCGTGGTATCCAAGTCTTGGGACGTCATTTTCGGAGAATGACTCCTCGCCCGACGGATGTTCATCTCATCCTTGACCACCAGGAAGGTGTTTTCATACTTGAGGCGGCGGCAGATCATTCGGTGGCGACCGTATTACGGAATCTCTGTCGGCACCATTGAGCCAACTGGCACGGTCAGCAGACGTAGCAACTCGGACTCTGCAGAAAACTAGCTCTTCTGCAACAGACAGTCGCTGCATCGCTTGCGGAAGTCTGAGTTTCAGCCGCAACCAAGAGCACTGCTGCACTTGCAGACCTGCCAAGACCACAACATGCTCGATCTGTAAGCGTTGTGCTGTTGACATGAGATTCATGAGGTGGACTAGTGGCACACGAGATGGACGCAGCTGCTCCAGCTGAGACACTTGTCTGATTGAGCAAGTTGTGGCTAGTTAACGACGGAGCCGACCGCGCTGTCCAGTACGGAGCCACATGTGCCAGACAAGAGTTTAACTTACGGTTAGCTGCGCTGACTCTCTCATGAACATGTCGCACACCTTTCTGATTTGGCCGAGGCACATGCATGCAAAGGATGGCCATGGGCATGACTGGGCCTCGCATCAAGCGCGGTTACTTCCCTGAAAACGGTTAAGAATTTGGTTTAAGTCCGCGACCTCCAAGAAGATGATTGCGTTGGCAGCACCTGCGACAGAAAGCAAGCGCTCTTGGAAAAGCTACTTCAGGTCGGCGACCTGCCGGATGAACCGATCCAGTCAACTCTTGTGCGGCGATGGTGGCTGCAACCGCCAGGGCAGCCTGGCGGCAGGGGAGAAGGCCCAGAGAAATCTGAACAGACGCCCACAATGACAGTACAAACGCAGTGGAACATGCAGCCATCAAGGTCTTACATGGCACGGATAGGTTGATATGATGGGACCACCGACGAAGCCCCCTTCCAGCGACACTCGGCTGCGACACTCAGAGTACACACTGGCGCACCTGAAGTTCCAGGCCGACAGGCAGGATCTTGACGAGTCCAGCACAGCTGCCTGAACAGGATTGAACAGGAAGAGGTCCGACGGTGACAGGCCGCTATCCGGCACGACCTGGCCATCAAGCTTCCTGGCACTCAAAACCGTGTCTACAATTGACTTCGTTGTTTCAGGCAGTGCACGCAGGTCGGAGATGGTCCAAAGACATTCTTTGTGGAAAACCAGCCACAGGCAGGGCAGGCGATGCCGCGCAATACGGCCTCCTTCTGCACAAAGGATCAGTCAACTTGACCCGAACACCTAGTCATGAGCGGCGTGAAAGCCGCGGGCCGTCGGACGAGATGCTCCACATGCCATTTACCAGACATGGAGCCACTGTATACACACGTCTCCAGGACATGTCCAGTCAGCAGCCTAGAGCGACACACTCAAAGTGAGCGCCGGCCACCGAAAGTGACAAGCCTAGACACAGCTACACTCGGAGGGAGCCGAATTCAACCGCAGGCTTTGCAGCCGCCAGAATTGAGTCGCAGGGACGTGTGCACAGGTGTGCTCAATGTTTTTAGATACTGTACGGACGAGGAACCACGGGAAGAAACCCATCCGCTGATGAGATCTGCCCCTGGCACGACCCAAATTTGCCAGATGCATCCTGCTCGAGCTGTACAACAATTTTGGCACGATGCTGGGAGCCAGGCTCTGCACTGCAGGAGTGACCGCTGATTTTTCCAACCAAACAAAAACAGCTGAAAAGAAGAGAAAAAAAAGGCAAAGCAGCACACCCCAGCTCCCCCTTTGGCATTCCGCCGAACCTGTATCAAAACTTGCCAGCTTCCTTTTAGCCGGAGACCGGGTGGCTTGCTTGGCTACAAGGCACTTACAGGAATGGAAATCATGCACCATACCACATAAGACTACTTGAGAGATGCGCAGGTTGCGGGGTCTCTGTTAGCAACACCCATGCTCTTCCGATGTCGCCCTGTCCGCACAGTGCTTCTCCCAATGAAAATCATAGGGGCACATGTCGATAACATGAGAAGCCACCCAGGGCCCTGCTGGATTGAATTCCTGACGTACGCGTCCATAACTCGCATCTTCCAAAAGGACCGAACTCGATTCCTTTGCACCTGTCAAAGCTGAGCGAACGGAGAAACAAGAGCGTATTAAAGCGGCTGACCTCCTCCGAGACCTGCAAACACACACTCCTCTGTTTCCAACAGCTGGCCTGGTCCCCATGCCTCTGCAGAGGCTCTTGCATGAGTCGAGGCTCTGGTCTCGAACGTGGGTGTAGTACAAAGGCGAATTATCCTGGAACTCCGTCATTCTCATTTCACCGTCAAAAACGAAACATCGCCGATCTGTGAATGAATATTGCAGGGAAGTCGCGTACCATGTCCGTCCGCGGCATGCCTGATTCTCCCCGCCCACGCTCTCGAAGTCGGATGGGGCAAAGATGTAGCAGGAATGCCCCATCAGCGGAACCGTCGCTTGGATGCCTGCAAGCTCGCGAAATTGCACCGATCATCACAGTACGGCTCCTTGTTCGTGATTCGTGATTTGCCAGAGTGGTACAACCCTTGGAGAGCTTGCTGGTTTGCTCTGATATTTGCTCGTCCACCAGGTATGACTGGATGGCTTCTGAAGATTCTGAACAGAAACTCATAGAGCTCTCCACCAGGAGTTACATACAGCTTGTGTTTGTTTCGGCTTTCTTTGCGGTTGTAGTCGGGAAATCCGAGGCACGTCACTACTTCCAGCAAAAGCATGATAAGCACACAATGCAAGACTGTCACGGCCTGAACCCAGAGTAGCTAGACTTCGCTGAGAACAAGCTCAATAGCTCAATAGAGTCAGTAAAGTTAGCCTCCGTCCAAAGCTGCTTTCGCGAGTTTTCGAGTATGGCGTGAATGTGACGACGAAGTGTTAGTGTATGACTGGAAGTCTTCATTGAAGCCCAACGGCTTCAACTGGCGATCTTTTCAATAATGGCACGAGCCGCCTCTCAGTGCAAGGCTAAGTATCGTGAGTTCTCTCGGTGTTAGCACATTCCTCGTACATAGGTTGGTACTGTCACAATCTATGTACGAGACAACCCGCACCTTCGCACACAGAGACGGCCTCATCTTTCCGAGCGAGAGTACAAGCGAGAGAAAGCTGAGGAGGCGTCAGCAAGAGCATCAGGAGCGCACGGTGGAGTAGGGAGAAAGACCGGGAGGGAGGGAGGGAGGGAGGGCGTAGGGGAGGGGACAGGGCAGATAGCGGAAGTCACTGAGAGGCGAGGCTAGAAGGGGAAAGGAGATGAGGGGTAGGTAGAAATGAACTGGGCCAGAACAATGGAGGATGAGTGTCCCGAAAATGTTTAGAGTGCCGAGTTAACACCGAACATCATCTCATCCATCCGTCCACCGACCCAGCCAGCCGGCCATCCATCCATCCATCCTCCATCCATCCTCCATCCGTCCATCCATCCGTCCACCCATCCATCCCACAGCCAGCCATCCACCATAAACTGCTTCAACTCCATCGTCCCTTCTTTTAAACTCCTCTCCAAACCCGTTTTTGTACACGTTCTAGGACCTCTGACAGAAACACTTCTATAAGCCTTTGCAAATCCGCTTCTATCTACCCCTCTCTGTATACCCTTCTACAAACCCCTCTACACAAACAGTGAAAAACTTATCCAAACCCTCGACCAACATGCTCCCCTCTTGGACTGACGGGATTCACGGCCATAGCCTTGACTCTAGAGGCCTCTCGGGGAGGCGGCGCTAGTTTGGGGAACCGGGGCGGCACGGGTTTGGAACCTCTTTCCTGGAAGCCTCTAGAGGGTTCTGCGGGAGGCGGTCGAACTGCTTTCCCCCATCTGCTGGAGGGATTCAGAAATATCACCAAAATGTTTCCCCCAAGTACTGGCCGCATTGAAAAATCTGGAGGCCAAAATCGACGCCGCACCACACGTGCAGCGCCTGGAGCGCCGGAAGCATCGAGAAGGTGGTCATTTCGAGGCCAACATGAACCCGATTCCCGACGTATTGGAATTTACAATGGAGCTTGCTGGAGGTTGTTGCGGTCACGGCAGCAACTGGGAAGAGGCGAGGGAGAAGGAAGGGTGACAGCTCTAAGGATTTCTCTTGTGAATTGGCTGGCGCCTGCACTGTGAGTCCATACTTCGCATCTGCCATCCACACCGAAGTCGATGCCCTGGCAAACATCCGAAGCAACGCGGCAGTGCCGTTGGCAGCCACCTCGGTGAAGACTTTGTAAGCCAAACCGCACAAAATGCATCAAGATGCTGGAACGTCCTTGCAATGCCCTTCAAAAGCAAGCTGCTGAATGTCTCGTTCACATAGAGTCTGTAATCGTTTTCTGAACTGTCGCGGGCCGTCAACCTGAGCTAGAACCTAGAGCGGAAGACAATGACAAGCACATCATCTGTGTCAACTTCGCACAACACCGCAAGCTGCAAACAGAGCTTCGATCCTGTCCCGCTCCTATGCCACCGGCGGTACACAGCTGTGACTTGTCATAAGACGGACGAAGCACCCACGACAAGCTTCGTCTTTGCCCGTTCCCATCTGCTGGAACTCGAATGGGACCTGAGTGCGGTCACAACACTAAAAGGATCCACGTGGTCGCTTGAGTTGCGCAAAGCCAGAAGCCGAACTCGAACCTCTCTCCGAAAACAGCCCAGAGCCAAGCAGACACGAAGAAGACAAGAGCTGGCTTGCAGGAATGCAAACGTCACAAGCGAAATGGCGCTTGCTACCACCAAATCACAGCAGTCAGACCGTAGCACATGACGCAAGCCAAAACACAACACTAAGTTCTTGGGGCCGTCCGGTTTCGGGTTTCGGAACATCGCAGATTATGCATGTAAGACCCTGTGATTCCCGTAGTACAGCATCCCAGGGGAATGTGTTGATGCCAAGAATCGTACCGGAGGCACCTGTAACCTGCCAGACTTCTGGTCGACTGGATGCCAGCACTTCGCGTCCAAACCTGCTCCGACAGCGCTTGCAAAAACCAGCGCAGGTTCACCAAAAATCTCCAAAAATGCTTGCGAGCATGTCATGACATGCCCCATGTGGGCAGCCTTTTTGGGAGAGGTGGAAATTTTTGGTATGAGCATTCAGATACAAACAGTGATCATGTGAAGTAAGGCTACGAGAAGTCCATGCCGGCTTTGCCGACTTTATGCAAGGCAAAGATCGAAAAAATGCGTAGTTGCTTGCATGCCATGCTTTCCTTCTGTTATCACTGCGACTTGATGAGGTCAACATCACATGCAAACTTTGCTTCGCGGTGGTCCTCGCGAGGTACACATGGTGGGGTTGAAGCAGGCAGCAAGGAAAAGCTCAAGAGCCCCTTCTTGAAACCCTGGTGCCTCGCACCGCCCGAACGGGCCATACTCAATGCCCTTGCACCCGTCTGTCAGGCGGCATCTCATCTTGCACTCACCTAGAGCCAGAAATCAAGCCAGAAACAGCAACGACGCAGACCAGTGTTGTGGCGTTCTCCAGCTTTACCGTCGGCTTCACACAGCACAAGCTACTTCGCAGAGGGAGCACAAGCAAAGCGCAGATTCAAAAGAGCAGCAACTCCTTTAGGACACACGCTGACTTCACAGGAACGCACCAATGCAGGAAAGACACTCAGAGTCTGGCCAGAAAAGAGGATGAAGTACATGTTGTTGTTATCCCACCAAGCTTCGCCTCTGCAAACCTGTGGCGAGAACACTTTGCACGCGAGGATTCGAGCCTTAACCCGGCACCTCGCAGTCCCTCATATTCGTTTGAGCCACCGGGAGACACTGGAGACTCTGAAACATGGCTTGAAAGGCTGAACGAACAGGGGTGCGAACACAAGCCTGGTCAGCTCCACCCAGCTCCACGAAGTCCGGGTCCGTCGGGCATAATGTTATGTTGTAGCCTGCCTTGTTGGGAATACTGTCATCTTCTTGGCTCTCCGCAGTTCGACACGTGAATGTGCTGGTCTCATCATCGAATGCCTGGGCTGGGGCTGGACGCGACTGATGGCGAATGGCAGCACACACGCATGTCTCCCTCGCGGGCTTAGCGCCAGAGGCCAAGGTGCAAAGGTGTACGCCGTTGGACAGCCGGCCTCATGAGCTCTGAACGACCGTCGCTCCACAGCCACAAAACAACAGCGGCAAACGCCCGAACCTTTCCCATCGTTCCCCAAAACTCTGGCACGGTCCGACCATGACCCTAGACATGCTGCGGTCTGACACGATGCTCCACGCAGACTAGCAGAAAGAGAAAGTCCGAAAGGTCGCGGACACGAGGCGACTATAAACCAAAACCTGCCACATACCTGTACCTACACACACGCACACACAAAATTAAAAAACGCCTCAATCCCTGCCTTCAGAATCTCGTAGAAAGGTTGAGCGGTCACCTGCCATGTCTGACTGGCTCCTTGGCAGCCTGATCAGCATGGCAACACTGTTGACAAGTTGACTCTGCCAACCACCAGCAGCTGCTGCAGCACTGCAAGTTGACAGGCCTGCACTGCTCTCTATCCCAGAAGCCCAAGCACGGAAAGCCTGCCTTTGCCACCTTCCGGTATAGGAATTCCCAGTGCTTCTGTCCAGTTGGCACATCCACAGCACTCACCACCAGCGGGTACCTCAGAGCGGCACCAGTTGCAGCTTCATAGCAGCAACGACCTGGTTCCCTGAGTTCTTTAGTGTGCACACACAGCAAACCTTTTACAGGCAACCTAGACTGCACAACCACTTTGAAGGAAGTTGCGTCATTGTAGCACGTTGTTGTCCAGGGAGCAGGGCCAGCACCTGAGACCCTTCCGCATCTGCACAGACAGCAGCTCTTGCACAAACCGAGTGCACTGGTGCGATTCGAACGCAGTCCCAGGCGCAGGCAAACATGTAGTGCATGCTTGGGCAATCGATCAGTCCATCGAAAGGGGCGGGGCTGCGATACGTGTTCCCACTCCAGACACAAAGCTGGTAGACTGACCACATACCAATCCGATGGCCACACCTTGGGCTTGAAGCTTGCATGGCCAGACACTTCCACACCAGGCCACACTCAACACTTGTCCAGGCAAGTCTCTCCATGGTAATCTGTGTCGTCGGACGATACACTTGCGCCACCCAATCCCAAACCGTTTTTGCAACCTGCCCACATACCTTTCGCCAGCAGCTCACTGATAGCAACTGCAAAAGTTGCCGTTGGGCTCACAGATGTCTTGACCAAGAGCAAGATTTTTCAGTGCAGTCGACTGGCAATGTCCTGCCCCTGGCAATCTGCATGCGTCCGGCAGTAGCCATATCCCCCATCGACTTGCGTTAGCAGTGGGCTGATGTCAGCCTGGACAGTCAGAGCAGTAAGGTCTCTGGATCTGGCTGCACAGCCTGGAATGGGCCGTGCATCGTCAGCCCATGTGAGCCGAGCAGCTTGTCCCAGCGCCTGGAGTCGCTTGGAGAACTCCCATGGGCAAGCTGACAAGCGCCTGCCAAAGCGCTCTGTAGAGCGACTTCTAATCGCCTGAACCCTTCCTTCATTGGAGATCTTTGCAAGGCATCGTTCCGTAATTTTCCAAATGCATTCAGGGGCCTCGGCAAGCATTGGTTGGAAGGGCAAGAGTGGCTGGGCGGCTAAGCATTGCAGCTACTGTTCCACCCCCATGCATGCCCGACCTGTCACGATTTCACAATTGAGGCCCATAGGTTATGTCGCTACATTCTGCAGATCCTCCAGGATCTGAGAGAAACGTCTTGAGATAAGAAGCTGACCCGAAGCCGCACTGTGAGCTGCACAGTGGCACCTGTCTGCTTGCGCCATGGCTCCAGCTGTGCCGCAGTTGTAGCCGCGACTGTCGGCCCCTTATAGCAGCCATCACAGCACAGTCACAGGACCCTCACCCGACGTGGCGGGCCTGCGTGGACGACAGGTCGGAAGGATCCGTCTGGCTTCATCCTGGCGCAAAATTACCGTGCACGTTACTCGCTGCAGGATCTTTTCTGAAACTTCTTACAGCGACAACAGTTCCCAATCCCGGGGCCCCTGTACCCCGACAACTCCGGCTCAATGTTCCAGACATTAGGACCAGCTCCGACCCTGTGGCGCCCTCGAGCTGTGCTGCTGTTAATGCAACTGAAGAGAGCGATTCATCACTTGCAGCTTTCGACGCAACCATGAGCGCTTTCGTGCGCAATGTGCATCAAATCAATCTCCGAAGCAGCTTTGAGAACTTGGACGAGTCGCTCGATGCCAATGTTGAACCCGTTGATAATCGAAACGTCGTAGAAGTCTGCACCGTGTGGAACGAAAGTGAACTCGACGGCCGTGGCAACTCCGTTCAGTCCCTGACCATGCACTACAACTCGAGACATTTCTACTGAGCCGTGCAGTGAATCACATCTAGAGTGCTGGCGCCTGGTACGTCGGGCACTTGTTTTGTCCGTTGCAAAGAGCTGATGCCGGTGGCCCCATATCCATGCTGGCATTGGGGTAGAACTCAGTGCAGGGCATTGGCACCAATGGCACCGTCAGAATCCCCCCGACCCTGCGAGGCTCAGGCCTCCAGTTTGCCGCTCCAGTCTGCGACCACCTAGCAGGCTCATCCCTTGACGCCTTGACGCTCACCGCTAAGGCTATCCTTGTATTGACAGCTACGTTAAGCAAACTGGGGAACCCACGCCGTTGCCCTGGCGAACAGCAACCTTGGGGTGACTTCAAGCAGCTTCGAATCAGGCTGAAGCAGCAAGAAGTGTCGAGCAGATGGAAAGCCGAAGCGCATTTGGAGTGTAGAGCTCCACCGCAGCTCCAGGTTGAATCGTCCATCCTCGCAGATAGGACAAAGGACGACAGAGGGTTGGCAACGTCTTGCGCCATCATGTGAAGCATTTAGCTCTGCCTGCAGATGGTTCGGGCAAGTCGAAGTAGCAGAACCTCGAACTGTCGCTGTCAGCTGCTAGAGCAGCAGGCTGCTGTGCTGATAGACCCAGCCTGTCGTATGGATTGCAAGTCATCCCACCGGGACATCCAGAACCACATGGGATCTCCTCGGCGGGGGAACAAACATAGTGTCCTCACTCACAAGGGATCCCCTGACAACCGTCGGAAGTCTCAGAAATATGCAGGATGGCCAAGCGGCACTGTTGCCGCCAGTCGGATGCATTATCATTGGCCGCTTGCACCGGTTGATGATCTGTAGCCTTCGGCCTGACATCCCCATCCCACCAGGTACACATCGCAACGAAGTGACCCGGCGGAAGAGTTCATCATGCTAATCGAACATGTCACTGAGACGAGTCTACGGGGCCACAACTTAATAGATCTCCCTCTCCCTTCGTTTCTATGGGGGTGGGGGAGGCATTCCAGCACCTTCATCGGAACGCGCAGGTGGCTGAACCGTGGTGACAGGCGCTGTCGTGGTGGGCCAGGGCAGCCATGGCCACCAGAGATCAGTGCCGTTCTGAACGCCACCCCCACCCTGCACCGTGTCAAGGCGAGAGGATCTGCCTCTTTGACGGGTTCTACCAAGAGCACGCAGAAGAGCAGTCGCCTCCGTTGCATTCGGCATTGTGTCGGGGTCGCTTTCAGCACGTCGTTGAGCCGATCGAACTACCTCTTTTGCGGGATCTGGCCAGTTCCGCCCCGAAACCATGCGTTCCGTATATAGGCTTCTCTGTGCAGCCCAAGCAGCTGCCTGGATGAAGCTGGAGCCACCTCGTATGCTCGGACACTACTGTGCTGAGAAGGCTGCGGCCTTCGCGGCCGACACGTGAAATTCGAGGATTCGAGGCCGACCAGGCAGTCATAAGTCAACTTCATACTCCCAAGTTGGAGTTCCCTGTGCAGCCTGTTTTTCTGCCACATTTCTGCCCTCCAACCTTGGCTGTTCGTTCCCAAGGGAAGCCATTCCCAGAAAAACCAGCTCATGAAGCAGCATGGGAAAAGAGTTTGAGTCTAGAATGCTTCCAAATCGACATCTGAGGTAGCCCGGCAGTCGCCATCGCCATCTTCGCGATCGTTCCTGCAAGTGGACCTCGGACAGCTCGATAGACCTCGGCAGGGAGCAACACGAGCCAGGCGGCTGTGGATTGACCCTCAAATTGCAGAAAACATGACTGATGCAATGATGCACTCCTACCCTGAGGTCGCCGCCTGGCTCAGCAAACGCGTGTTGCAGCACGGGCAGTGAAATCCACAGCCGATGGAGCATCGCTGTATGCAATCCTTGCGGTCCTAGCCATGTTTTCTTGTAGCATCCTCCGACATGACCTATCCAGAGAAGTGCTTCGTCAAGTTCGGCTACACTCTCCCACGGTTCAATGGTTACTCCATTTCATAGCCTACAGAGCTGCAAATGGCTGAGTGTCAAGACGGCATCACTTCCACGCGTTACGTCATAGGCAGCAGGCGCACTTCGACATAAGCTTTCCAGCCTAAAAAATTGCCCAGGAGAACACTCCGAGGCTGTGCACCATCATGTTGCCACGAGCTGAAGACCTGCATCACACGACACTGACATGACATCTAGTAGAAGTGCAAACGGCAGCTCCGTCTCGCGACCGCGACACGAGTGGAAGAAAGGAGTAACTCACGCTTGGAAATGCCCAAGGCAAAGGATTCTGCCTGAACAGCCGAAGCGCCCCATGCAGCACTTAAAAGCGGCAGCTGCACCTGCCCGACAGGGGCCAAAAAGTCGCTCTTGTCGCAACACAACACAGAGCTTCGTGGCAGGACAGCCAATCCAAGATCGTTCCAGATTGCCTGGTACGTCTCACCTCAGCACTGGAAGCCAGGTTCCATCTGCAAAGCAAATACGCCTACATGCGCAACAACCCAATCAGCAGGTTCTTTTGTGCAGCCAGGTCACTCAAGCTGCTCAGAAGGTGCTCTTGCAAAAGGCCGAGCAGCGCAATGAAGATAAAACAGCCAAGAAACGTGGAACCTGACTTTGCAACATACACCTTTCTACGCGTTGAGATCTCACCCTACGTCTGCACAAGGCGCGGACATGCGTGGCAGAGTCCATCACCTTCGTCTGCCACACTTTGGCTCGCACCTTGCTGGGACAACATCTCAGGCCAAGCTAGCACATGCGGAAAAAACGATGACAGTCACAAAGTACGACATTTTGGAAACGTTGCCATTTTGCGTTACGGGTGTCGTGTAGTTGTGCAAAGGCAGACCCCTTGATACTGAAAATGAGTCCACAAAATGCCCTGTAATGTGGTGGGAGCATGATCCGTGCCGCAAAGGCAAAAGCTCGATTTCGGGAAGCAGAAATGCACGTGTCGCGAGATCTTCAAACGGCATACACTGGCAGCCTGCTGGCGGCGCCTCTTAAAAGACGTATCGGGGCCTTCACAAGACTTTCAATTCGTGCTCAATGGCATAAAAATGCCCTAGCCCATCGCGGCCCTCCAGGGCCGGCGAGCGCGTTGACAACATCTTCGGACAAACACATGCGCTAGAACTGATCGAATAGAACAAACAAGCTCTGCAACCCAAAAAACTGTGGACGAGCAATGCATGTAACAATGGACTTGACCAGTATTTTACAAGCAAGACAGAGTCCTAAACCGTAAATCATGGGTAGTCATACATGAGTATCAACGCAATTCTACTTTTGCACAGTAAACCAAAGCATCCCAAGAATGTGATAGGTCACGAACTCCAGAGAGGAAGAATATGGCGAAAATTCTGACACTGAAAGGCTTAAAAAAACATCAATCCCTAACAGACAGAAAGCGACTCGGAAACCCTTTTTCGGTGGAATACACTAGAACCTAGGGCGGCAACATAAGATTGAGCCATCGGCCACCTTCCAGCTTGTCGGCGTAGCATGCCCACCAATCGGACAGAGTCTCCTTCATCGAGCAATGAAGACGCACCAATGATGGAGATGTCTCGCAGAACATGGGAAGACCACCGGCATCAGGGAACAATCGCCAAACTTGCACAATACTGGGGGTGTCGGGGCATACAACCTGCTCAAGGTCGAGGCGAGGCTCCAAACAGAATCGAAATTAACAAGACGCTTAAGCACTAAGTAGGAACGCGGGGAGTCGGGAGGAGAACAAACGAAAGTTGAGACGGGGACTTGCATACCGGAAGGGCGCTTGCTGGGATTTCTTTCGGTTTGAGCGCTGTCAGCCAACACATGGATGTAGCTGTCCTTTCATCGGTATGCTGTGTTCTTCTCAATCCATTTTTCTCTTGCTGCATGGTTTTCTTACCCTTGGCCTGCACTCTGCGACAATTGCATCAGATGGGATTCACCGTGCATTTTCAGGGAAGGGCTGCAGAACGCCATTTCCGATCCTCATCTCGCAATGTGCATCTGTGCACTTTCCCTTCCTACATTCTTGCCATTCTTTCAGGTCTTGCCTAAGAGCCTAGGAACAGCAAAACATGATTCCATGTCACCGCGGATCCAGCTATGACTTACCATTGCGATTCGCCTGCGCCCACAACCTCTGAGCCCGAGGACGCGGATGTGATCGCCTCAGGGGAGAGTCTGCAGAATGAAGTGAAGCCTGGGTCCCGTCCCAGCCAGGTAAACCCGCGGGGCGCTTGCCCGGTTGTTGCGATGACCTCTGCACGCTCACGACCTCAGGGATGTCGCTCTCTCGAGGCAAAGCAGCACCACCAAGATGGCATGTACGAAGAGTACACACTGCACGGCACCACCCTGGGTCTTCATTCATGCTGGAGTCTAGAGCGTGCAGGGTTTCGGTGTGTGAGAAAAACTTGCTCAGCACACGGCTGTCGGCCAGCAGCATCTAGGTCCATGAATCAAGTCAATGGCACATATTTCGAGGCTTTCTTAATCAGCCCATATCTACTTCGGGTATGCTCTCGTGCTGTACTTGGTCCACTGGTGTTCACTCGCGCACAGCTGGAAGATCTGGGCACCACGAACACATGAAGGACTTTATGCAGCTTGTTTCATCGCGGGCGAAGAGAAGCAGCACGACTCATCTGCATCGTGTTCATGGGCAGCAGGCACTATGCCTCTCGAGCCATTGCACAACAAAGCAAAAGGTTGACGAGGCAACAACAGGCCATCGGCCCTTGATGGCTCGCGTTGCGTCGGCTGCGAAAGAGCGCATTTTGCATCATCGCAGAGCTGCTGTCAGGAGCACTGTCAAAGTACCTGCTCGACTGGCGAGCCAGGACAAGCAGTTGTGACAAGCAGATGAGCAAAGTCGTGGATCAAGAGATGTGTCACTTCGTGAATACAGAGCGACTCCATACAAACCTCATGAATTCTAACAGCATCAAGTGGTTGATGCGAAGCCATCTAGCTCTGTGTCTGGCACACATGCCTAAAGAAGCGAGCAAATTCCATGTGCGATGCCTGCTCTCCTTGAGAACTTGGCCTCAGGCAGCTCGGATGTGACGCAGAACATGCGCTGCACGAAGAGCTCGAACTCAAATCAAACAGTCCCTCCACAAGCCTTGCAAACAAGCATTGCAGAAACATCACAACAAAGGCTGCCCTCATACAATGCACACCTGTGGCAATGTGCGTCTGCAGCACTCCCGCCCTCACCAGCCCTCCAACTTACACTCATTCAAAACGACAACGGCGATGCGAGCCGGCAAAACGGTCTCGCAGACTTTCGGATTTGGGTTCTCGAACTTAACCCGGCAACAGACCCTGGGCAATCAGTTTCGTGGGGTTCAGTCCAGCCGTGCCAGTAACAGAAAAATACACCCCTTTGGATCAAGCTGGCAAAGACAGAAAGGAAGACTCAAATCCAAGCCGTCAAAACTGCTGTCAAGCACCACAAATACATTGTATCCCATACATGACTTGCTTCACATAATGAACTGCAGCGAAGTGGCTGCAGGCTGGTCTGGCGATATGACGTCGAATGGAAGTGCGACCTGTCAGAACGTCAGCAGTTTCTAGCCTTTCCCCAAATCCCTCCTAGATCCTGCCTCCAAATCTTTCCATGCACCAGAAGCACTGCCCAAGCGGACTGTGCGAGAACCAATCTCCAGCACGGCGTCTGTTGGGGTCAGCAAGTCCTACGTGTAAATATGCACAGCAAAGATCAGCGAAGCCATGTGCACAAGCGTTTACTACTCGTATCACACCACCCTTAGCCTTGCCTTCTGAAAGACCAGCCGAAGTTGGCGACACTGAGCAGCAGAATCCATGGTTTCTTCCAAGGTGACGCTCGGCTGTGCCGTATCGTGGCTCTCACTTGTCTCTTCAATTGGAGTGCTTTCAGGGTGTTGAGACGAACCCGGGTCGTCTGCCTCAGATCGTGCGGCAAAAATGCGCTTCATGAGCTCAGCAGCCTTTTGTCGCATTGCAGATTCCGCACCTGCTGGCTCCAACACTCTCAGATCTGTGCGGCGACAGATAGCGGAACCACCTGCTTCCCACTGCACGGAGAGACGCTCTGCAGGGATGCCGTGGGTCAACAGCCATGCTTCCGCTGCTTCTGCTCTTTCTTTCGCAGTCTCGGAAACCTCACGATCCTCTGCATGACCAATAATTTCTAAACGACGCCGTTGGCCAGCACGCGGCTCCAGAAGAGTCTTCACGAGTGAGTGCAACACAACCTCTTGCATCGCGGGCACATTTACCTCTTCCAGTCTGTATTGAAGGGACTTGTGTCCAGTCACTTCCAAGTTCTCGTCCAACTCACTCTGGGTTGTCTCAGTGCTGTCCTTCAGTTTCGCAGCAGCAGCTGGCTCGTTTTCCGAGACAAACTGCGCTGCTGCCTGCTCCGATCTTTCGGCCTCGCGCAGTTTGCGTCGCAACCGGGCCACCTCCTTTTCCTGGTCGGACACAGCGGCGACAATCCGATCACGATGATCTTGTGACACAGCTTCGTCGGGTGGAGATGCGTCTGCTGTCATACCTGGAGATTCAGAACACGTCAATAATGGCGTGATCAAATTCTGCACCCAGTCATAGAGGCAGCCACATAGCCTGTCCGTCTCAACTATTTCTTCTCGCGTCACAGGCGTGTCACCGACCAGTATTCTTTTCACATGCTTCGCCAAGCGCTCCCCAAACGGCTGTCTGCGTAAGGCTGTAACTATGGAAGCCATAGGAGCATATGCCGCCGTGGCGGTGCTTGTGCCCGCGCTGGTAGCCTGTGGACAAACTGCACCTACGGTCAGCTTATGGCGTGGATGCCTAGCCTGCCAGCAAGCTAGAGGCAAAACAAACAACTAGCACCACCAATGTTGAGAGCGTCATCACAGTTAGATCACAGTTCGTCAAGGCCTGGACAAGACGAATTCGGTGTGGCCCTCTTGACGAAGCTGTAAGCTTCAACATGTAGTAAGTTGTTCCTATAGCCGATATGCCCTCCTGACTGGTGCCGGTACATCAGCACTCCTCTTGTGTCTTTTAATTAGGCGACTGAATGTGTGTGAAGCTGAAGGTTTGCACAAACTGCTTTGGTGGAATTTAACTGAGTTAACATCTTCTACGCAACAAGCAAACATATGCGAGTATCCGCACATGTTTCTGCGCCCCGCCGAGGCCGGGTGGCAGAGACGGGCCGGCCAAACCCAGCCAAGGATGGTGACGTATGACTCTATGCAAACGAAACGTGTGCCAGAGCAAGGTCTCGCCTCACATGGCTTGCGGAGAAGAACCTGCAGATTCCTCCATGGCACACGCCAGGGCAAGGGATGCTCTCCCAGGTCCACCAACAGAGGTGCCTGGCGGAACAATGCGTCTGAAACATACGCCTCAAACAAGGGACGCAGCCTCCAGCAACAGCATCACTGCGACGGCCAACCTGGTGAGATTTCACATTTTTTCTTCTTGTGGCATTGTTTTGCAAGGCTACTTATACAAATCTGCAGACCATAGAACGGCAAGGGTCCGATGCAGAACTGCAGGAGGTGGTTCGTGATGAGCGGCCATGGCCTGAAATGTGAGTGCATGTTGTCTTCATTCACATGACGCATTCCTCAGGTCCTTGATGGATCACCCCTAAGCCCTGCAAACATGGCACCCACACCTTCATTGCCAAGTCCTCCGGAGGGTCGTAAGGTAGTTGAACGTTGGCAACGTCCGCCGAACGTTCACCGGAAAGGAACTCGGTGCAATTGCAAACACATGTGAGCCGACTATCGCATTCAGAGCGGAGACACCACTAGCGAGCAACTGTCTTTCCACTACCCGGTGTAATCGCCCTTCCTGCTCAATGCTGGTGGCCCCGACCGCACCCTCACAACGTGCGTGACAAGCACGAAGGCAACAGTAACAGCATGAAAATCGCATGCCGTTGCACCTTGCTGCTTTCCAGCTCCAGCCGATGCTGTCGCCGCTTCCGTAGTTCGACCTTTACACACAAGGACATATTCTGTTCGCATGACCTCAGCCCATCTCGTGTCCAACTCTGCGCATTGTTTGCTTGGCCCTGGGAGGCCTCTGCATCCACCAGGAGGCTGCGAAGACGTGTTATGTGAGCGGGGGGCTCCGCGCCTGGTTGCACTCTCTGAAAAGAGTGCCAGTCGATGCTGCAGCGACATACAGCAAACGTGATGCTTGGATATCAAATAGCCTCCAGCGGAGCCTCTACAACACGGAGTGGAAAACACAGTTCAAAGGCACGTCACGTTTATGTCTGTGCCGGCTCCAATTCTGCAAGTTGACAGTCCACATGCATACGGCCACTACACAAAGAAAGGAATTTCAGACGCTGGGCACCCACTTACTTTTTAGACTGCCTTGTGTTGATACATCAATGCATGCAACGTCAGCATAGCACAAACATGTGCAAACCCAAAGCCTCCTGCTTCTCGAGGTGCTACATGGTCGTTGTACCCTGCCTGAAAACGGCACATTTGAATCACAACACGTTGAATGAATCCTCAGGTGCCGCACTTGCATTGAGAAGGAAGCGAACGATATCAATGCAGGCTGTCATGCATTTTCTAATCCTTCAATGTGTCGCCTACTCACTATCACAATGCAAGAAAGCACCTTTGTTGATCTCATTACTGCATGCTTGAAGTTTTTGACTCTTGGCTTGAATGGGTCGCATGCATCCGAAAAACTTGAAGTTGACGCATCCGACGTTCAAGGTGATGCAGATTGCACACACAGCTGCTCCGGCAAATGAACAATTGAACGGCTGTGCGGTCAAGCATCAAGACCCACTGAAGAACGATTCACACCATCAAAGCTCATGTTGTTGCTCAAGCGAACCATGAACTTGCTGCCAACAAGACTTCTCATGTGGCCCGGCAACCTTGTGCATCCAATGTTCAAAAGGTCACACACATCGGGCATCGAGACAGTTGCAGTGTAAGCTCTTGGGTGCGGAAACAAAAGTTTTCAAGCCGTTTTGCTTTAAGAAACTTTGAATCTGAGAAATTGCAAGCCCGGTTGGTGAAAAACGCTGTTTTGTTTGGAAACCATAGAATTTCTTCAATAATCCTGAAGACTGCTTCTAGACACTGCGTTTCATGTCTTCGACATCCCCAAATGGTGTGGCCAATCCAGTCCATAAAAATAATTGAAGCATATTTGTTGCCACGCAGAGCCGCGAAACGCAACAATGAAGATGCCAACTATTCAAAAATCCCACTAGACCTTCAAACACATTCTGGCAATCTAAGCGACTCATGCCAACCAAAGCCAAGACAAAAAGTTTTTGCAATGTTGACATCTGAACATGTTGCTTTTTTGGCGTGACTGGGCCTCGTTGGCTACAGCTGTAGCTCTCGGTCCCTACAAACAAACAGACATAACAAACAAACAAAGACAGCGGTGAAACGAACCTAATTGGAGGCT